TTCGGCCACTACGGGAGTACCTCGTCTCCAGGTCACGCCCCTGCCCCTGTCCGGTAATAATGGTACCTATTTTCGTGGTCCGTCTACGTAGTACATAGTCGGTCAGGCGCACACGCGCGCCTCACGCACGCCTCCTTTTGGGGGTTTGGCTTGGGGGGTGCTGGGATTGGGGAATCGCTCGCTCGCGACAAGTCTCATCTCAAGTGTGCCGGGCGTCCGGCCTGTTGGAATGTATAAATGTGTCTGCCTCCCTCCCCCGGGAATGCTAGGCTTCTCTTTTCCGACTCGAGATCTATATTATCACCAAAGTGCCAGCCTAGTCCAAGACTCAAGACTATCTACCGCCGCCACTACCAGTACCACTTACAGCCAACCACCAGCAACTTGACGCTACCGCAACTACATCCGCCTGGACAATACTCGTTCAGTCACCCAAACCAAACACCACCAACACAACCAACCGTCGCAACCGTGGCTTCATATCAAGAATTCACCATGCCTGCTCAACGCCCCTCGCAACTTCCTCCTTGCCCTGGGCCACCACCCAGCCGCCCGCTGCCTCCTCTCCCCCGGTAAAGGAGTGCAAGCCAAAGCCGAACATCAACTGCCTCTCACGACCGCATCGACTTTCAACGCACTACACACCTGGTTATCTGTCCTAATTGCCATTGCAGCGCCTTGAGCAACAGGCCGTTTCTGCATTGGACCACAAACATCATGTTCCGCAATCTTCATAGGGCGCAACCTCACCGACATACAACACGAATATGCACGTCAGCGCGCCAACTTCAGCCCGACGATGCAGGCGGCGTACCTGCAAACGCATCTGTGAAGCTGCCTTGGTATCTTCGGCACGACATGAGCACACCATCGTGGGCCACGACGCAATAGCGATCAGCTGAGCCGTCGCATCGTGTTGGTCCGTCGCCGAATCACCATGGACATTGTCACCGACTTTGGCTTCCAGCCCCCACGATGGGCCGCATAATGGGCCTAGTCACAACACATCGCACGTCCAACTGTCTGTCATTTGGACCACCTCTCGCTGGCTCGAAGGTATCTCATATCCACGACACGTGCACCATCTCCCTCCACTTCATGCTTGGGAACTTTGTTCTCTTTTCTTGGCCCGCCTAGTACACTCGCGCGCGGGGCAGCAACATACCTACTACTATTTAATTTCACGACCCTGCTTTTATGCACACATCATCGGATCGGTTATGCATCAACGGAACACCAGCAAGAGGAGGAAAGGGATTCTCTCCGTTGGGTCTTCTGGTTTTCACTTTTCACGATACCCCCGGAGTCTTTTAGCCGTCATTTGCGCTCATTTATTGAGGACACATACATACATAGACTTGGGCTGATGGGAATGGAGTCACTACTCTGAACCGTCCACTGATCACTCGGTGCTTATGAGCTACATGAATGAATTTCATTAAACATACATACACAAAAGTACGATCGCCGCTCCTATCGTGCCTCGTTTCATGCTATATCCGACGCGTGCGCAATATAGAACGTCACACTCGGGTCACGATGCAGCAGCAGCTGCATGTCGTGCATGGGGCGAGGACCTCAATTCCCTCAAAATACCACCGCGAACCCGGTCAATTGACCGACCACCTGACCTCGTGACATTTTCCAAGCCTCAGTCGGTGCACGCTCAAACCTGCTCTCGTCTCAAGTAGACTGCCTCTCTCCATTGGCAACCCCGCAGTGCATCCCACTACCTCCCCTCCGACTACGACGTGGCACCGCTCACGATAATTCGGTACGGGTTGCTTCGGTCCGCGTCGCCTACGCGGTCACCATCCCGCGAGCGAGTGAGTGCTGAGTGCCTGGGCGGGCGTCTCGCATCCATGCAGCGTCGCAGTCCGCCGTCCGCTGCCCGGTGGTTAGGCGGAGGATGCCCGATCTCATCAGCTCGATCAGGGTCCATGTCTCTCTCTTCATCCTCCGCCTTGCTCTGCTGCATTCCTCCCAGTCCCAGCGCGCGCGCGCGCGCGCGCGTTTGCTCATCTTCCCGAGGCTGCGCGACGCATTTCACAAAAGGGGGCGCATCGCGCAACATATCTAGATACACGCACCCCCTTGGCCGCGCCTGGAAAAGGAGACGATAAATTTCATGCTGCGCACTTGCATCTCTCACCGCCGACGTAATCAAGCAGAGTCCTGCACGTCAAGAGATAAACCAACCACTGACCCTATTTTTTGCTTGCACTGTACCAGTCTGGTGATCGCACTAACGCAAGCTCAGCGGACGGACGGACGGCCGTTCACACGTGGTTCCAGTGTGGCGCGGGTCCCTACTGGACAAGTACTACTGTAGCATCACGCTTACTTGGCTGGCGCAACACGACAAAGTACAACCAGCAGTTGTCAGCACATGCGGAAAAAGCGGGCGATAGTTCCAGGGGGAGGCGAATTCCTCTCCCACATCACTTTCTCACTTGTTTCACCTGACGAACCATCTTCTCGAAACAATTTGCCACCTCGCAAGGCTTTTGTGGCGGCCGGGGAATGATGATCGACATGGCCCAACGTTACGTACCTACGTTTGTAGGTGGGCTGCAGAAATGGCTGCCCCCTACTGTACTGTAGTGATTGGTAGTGACAGCGCTTGCAGCGGTGAGACGAAACCACGCTTCTTGGATAGGCAAATAGTAGGGGATTGGTTAGGTACATACCGAGCAGGTGTTCGGCTCGCACGGTACGGTACGGTACTTCTCCCAAGTTCTCTTGAGGGCCGGCAGGGGCTTCATCCGCATGCATCCCCACAGCCTTTGGGCTGTGATCCGACGCCGGAGGATCAACAAAGGGGGGGGGATGGATGGAGGCCCAGCAAGGCATCAACTTTGCCTCGTGCGTGCATCCGTGCCATGTGGGAGGTGGAATCGCATCCCGTCCTTTGGCCATCCGAAAGGGCCTCGCGCGATGAGCATCCCAGGAACATGGACCGAGGATGATGTTCGGATTGAATTATGTACGTGCCGTTCCGCCTGTACAAGGCGGCTGATCCATTGCGAGTGACGTCTCTTGGTACGCACGAGTGTGGTGTCCGTGGGAAAAGGGACTTTGAGTCTTGTACCTCGAGGCGAATGCTTCCCACGTGTTTCGTGTGCTTTGGCAACGAGCATGAAGTCAATTTGCATGTGTGGCTGTTGGGCCAACAGCCCGCGATGTACATCCACGTTCATCAAGCGAATCTAATCATACAGATCTAGTGGTTCAGTGCTGGCAATTAGTCTTTTGTCACAAGGTTAGTACGTTGCAAGCGTTAGTAGTACGTTTGATCTCTGGTACTTTTCTCAATCTGTGACATGTTAGCTCATATGCGCCCGCCTGTTCTTCCCCGTTAGTGTCCTCGCTGGCGAAGACGGTCAACCCTCCAAGGAGGCAGCTTCTCTAGGGCCTGTGGCTGCTGCTCTTCATTAGCTGACACATCCTTCAGCAGCTGCCGGTATTCCTGCTCAAAAGCATTATCAAAGTGACGGGAACTGTCCGGTGCCGAATGTTGGGTGTTGGGAGCTGCTCCGACGAGACGTGAAGGACCACGTTGCCGTCCCTCGTCGTCTCGGAATGTTCCGTTCATGATGGCTAGTTCTCGAAGCTGCTTTTGCTTCTGGAGGTTGTCCCCCTCGGGGCTCGAGATGGCCGTGTCGATTACCTGCTGAATGGCCTTCTTGCCTTCATTAACTTGGCCTTGCGTGTTGCCTGTGATGAGTACATGCAGGTGCTCACTCGTCATGGAGCGGCTTTTGCCTTCTTTGACCGAGCCTTTGCCCCTGACAAATAGCCTCACGCCAAGACGCGCCTCCATCTCCTTGAGCGAGGTGCCCCTCGGTCCAAGAATCTGACCGACGAATTTGACACTGGGGTATTCGTTCGCAGGAACTGGGACCCGTTCAGAGAATCTACTTGGGCGGCGATAGTCCCTCGGAGGATGGTACGAGGGGAGCTGGCCAGTCGCCCTTTCGACCAAGCTATGCCTCTCAGACTCAAGTGCCTGTCGATAACGTTGAGCTGGGGTGTTCGTGCGACGGCCGCTACTGTCATATTCCGGACCAGGGGATGATTCGAGAAAGAATCTGGGCAATGTGATCGAAGACTCAGGGAGGCGCAAAATGCGCGCGATCTCTTGGATGCGGAGATGGGCCATCAGGATATCCAGCTGCTCCGATGTCATGGAAGACTTGATGGTAGTGGGGAAAGCGTTGCCATCGTCATCATTCACGACAGTACAATTGCTGTTCCGGGCAGTGGTGTCCGCAGACCATCGAGAAATCCGCCCTGCGTGCTTCATCTTGATTGTCGAGTCTTTTCGGTGTGCTTTACTCGCGGTATATAGGACAGGTGGCAACAACAGGTTGATGATGGAGGAAGAAATGTTGGAGACGGAGGCGGGGACCATGCCCCCTTTTTGTGCGCCTCGCAGGCGGCGCTTGTGAAGCATAACAACGTGGACTTAGCCGCGGAGTCAAAGGACCATCTGCATGGCAAAAGCTTGTGAGAGACGAGTGTCGCGACTTGGACTCGAGGGCTTTAGCATTTAGCCTTTAAGCTTATCGACATATCAGTCGTCAGGCAGAAGGTTGGTCTAAATGTACCTGTGAAGCTCGCCGTCCATGTGTAAAGTGTCAAGTAAGATTTATTCCACAATAAACAAACAGTAATGAATTCGAGCCACAATATTCGATCAAAGCGTGTCACTCAATATCCATGTGGTGATAGCAAAGATTGACTAACATACCTAGACGAATATTGTAGTCTGAACCGTATCGGTGCTTGATTAAGGTCAAGAAGGGTTTGACTTCACAAGCGAAATCTCAAGATCCCTGAACCCGTACCTTAAGGTATACTTTGGATAGTGTTGCCAGATACTATATAAATGTAAGGTTTCCCCCGACTGAATCTGCACTTCAGTCACCACAACAGCTTCTCCCTTACCACCAAACCCTGGAATTCGTTATTGGCAACTTCACAATAGTTCGGCAACGATGGGGAACAAGTCCTCTTCAGCTGCCCCTGGCACATCCGAGCCGAAGCCCTCTGTTGACGTGCCTACTAACGCTGGTTCGGAGCGAGAAGCAAGTTCAACTGCTTACGGTCCCCCCTATCCTCTTCATATTCCACTTCCTGCTGACTTGAGCCACCCAGACGCCGATGTCAGTAAACACGTTCCCATCCTACTCAAAATCTTCCCCGAGACGACGGAAGTGTCCAATTGCTTCATACATCTTCACTTCTCGGTGAAGAAACTCCCACCTTGACCATGGCCACTTACCATCGGCGGCAAGCCATTCACCATCACTGATGAGCAAGGCACGGGAAAGCTGTTCATCTTTCCCTTGCCAGGAACGGGAAATACCTCCTTTCATCTTCGTCCCGATATTGGGGGATCTGTCGGCTCCATGGAGTCTGGAAACTTTGCAGAACTCGCAGAGACGATACACCGCGAAATGGTTGATCGCTTCCCCGACCTGAATGTCGTGGAATACATTGGCGATACCAGTAATGGAGCGGTCCGGATTGTACTGGCAGATGATGTGAATCCGGCCCAGTTTAATGGGCGATTGCCCGGCCGAATTGCCAACCGCTGGGGCTTCTATGTATTCGAGAAGGACCTTCACCTTGTTGAGGCAGCGCGTCGTGAAGGCTCGCCTGATGCCCAGACGGACTACATTGACGCTGCTGATGTCTCAACAGACGCTGATGGTCACTTCGCCAACGAGACCTTGCCACAAGATACGGTGCGCCCCAACAGTCCTCTTGGCGACGCAGGCGATGAGGAGTTGAAGATCATGGAGAGCGGTTATCTCAGCACATCTTCCACAAGCACGCGACCACTGGAAGGTTTGAGAATAGCAACCAGCTGGAAGCCAACTCAAAACGGCTCGAGTCCGCATCATGACCTCAAAGGCGAGGTTTATGACTGGTGGTGGCTAGGCCAGGAGTTCGCTGGTGACGCTGGTGACCCGAAGGCTGCGGTCCCCGGCGCATATGGTTCCCCGATAGTGAACAAGCATGGCCGTGCTGTAGGATTCTTGCAATGGCACTGCGTAGAGGGGAAGTGGTCTAGACTACACGGTGCTATTTCAGCCAGACAGTATACATTGGGGGGACGGAGGCTATCAGCCCCGGAGCCTACTAAAGCCCCTGGGCTGATGTGATGGGCGAATTATGGTTGTATTTGCTAATACTACAATAAGACTTCGAGTGAATACTACGATTGTATTCAGATCAATACCCATAGCCGTGCTTGAATCAATACTATACCTTAGTTATACGTGGCCCATACAATAATCAACACCCCATTCAACGCAACACTACTCATGACGATATATCTCCATCGCTGCCACTGCTATCCGCATGACCTCTCCCACGCTTCCCCTTCCGCCTACGTTTCCTCTCCCTGGGTGCCGCAGTCTGCTCTCGCCAGCCTCTACCCGGCGCAATGGGCTTGAGGAAGCCATCCACGTGCACCGCACCGTACACCTCATCCTCCGAATCGACCTCGCTCCCCGCCAACCCAGGACTCGCCATGTGCACGTCCCCGACCGCCCCAGGATGCAGGAGCTCCATGTGCCGACGCAGATTCGCCCTGCGCGCGAACCCCTTCCCGGCGCGCGGGCAGGACGCCAGGGGGCAGTAGAAGTTGGTCCCCACGGACGCGGACCTCGACCTCGAGCGCGACGGACTCGACCTATCTGATGCCGCGAAACTAGATTGTCGCGAAGCCACACGACGCTGTAGAAGAGTCGAGGCCCCATCTCTGCATCCTCCATCGCCATCGTCCGAGTCCATGTCCGATGTGGGTATCCTCTCTGGCCTGTACTCCCGGCTCGCCACCCCGTCGCCCTTGTCGGCGGGCAACTCATGCAGACTCCGCATGACCATACCCTCGCCAAAGAGATTCGCGCAGCGCTGCGTGGTCCGCGCAATGACGTCGGGCGAGAACCCAGCCAGTGCCGCGGACGACACCACATCGCTCCAGTCGCGGAGACCAAACAGTCTCGGCGGTGGCTTCTTGGAGGGCTGCCTCGGTTGTTTCTGCTCCGTCCTGAGCCACGCTTCAAAGGCAGAGTCGTTGTCGTTGTCGGCAGACGCCGGGCGTGAAGGAGGGGGGAGGGCGCGATGCATTTCGCGGGCCACGCGGGTGGCCATTTCCTCGTCCGTCTCTCCGGCTTTACGCGCATGGACTTTGCGCGGACGACCACGCTTGCCAGACGTGGTTGGTGACTTTGTACTTGTGTTGGAGGTGGCGGAGGGGCTGCGGCGGGAACGTGAGGTGCGGCGGCGGGAGGTGGTGGAGGTGTCGGATGAAGAGGATGAATCTGAATCGTAGCCGCCGAGACCAATGGTACGTGAGGCGGAGAGAATGGAGAGCGTCTTGTTGACTTGGGATATGATGTGTCTGGAGATGGGGTTGAGGAGGGATGCGTGGTCCTCTAAGGAGACGATGGGTTCATATGTCTTTGGTGGGATGCGCTGGCGAGGAGTAGCCGTCTCAGTCTGTGGATGGTCGTCGTCCCTGTCTTCAGTACTGCCATCACGATCATCTTCGTCCTGGCCATGCTCGCGGTGTTGTGGTGATTCAGCTGGTGCAAGGGGCTCGTCGTCGTCCTCCTCTGAGCTGGCTTGCTCCAGCTCGTCGCCTGCGTCCTCAACAGAAGGCCGGACGGCATCCCACCTCGCTTTCCGCTTTCTGAATCTTTGCTTTGCCATTCGTAGAATGGTGGCGTTGAGTTCCTCTCGTAGATCCGTGCTGGGGTATTTGGTTTCCTCCTTGCGGTACGTGTATGGCTCATCCTCATCGTCTTCCCTCTTCACGAAATGTTCCTCAGGCAAACGATCTTTTATCAATGGCCACGCGGTAAACATCTTTGGTGGTGTCCAGACCGCCTCAGAACCGTTGTCCTAGGGTTTGCCGTCAGTTTCGGGGCTTTCCGCCATCTCAGTTGAGCAAACTCACCAATTGAACCGTCACGTCACCCATCGTCGCCGGGTTCTCTGCCCTCTTGCGCAGCGCGAATACATTATAGAGATGAATGCCCAGGTTCTCATTCTCGACTTTCTCGTATGCGTGCCAGAGCAGACGCTCTTCCTCGGTGAGGTGGCGCCATGTTGACGCGGGGCCAGTCCAGCGGTTCGGTCGGTGAGTGTGCAAATCGTCAGATTCTATCGATGCAATGTCTGAGTCGTCCAGATTCGAGAAGTCTATGGATGTCTGTGCCATTTTCGTCCATCTGCATTGTTGTGTTGGTTGGAGGAGCGAGAATGGCGTGAGGACGTGGGAAGCAAGGTGTAAGTTGAGGTCGAGGTCAAGTTTTTCACTAATGACGAGTCCGACAACATTAAGGAGCAGTCACTTGAACATCACACACCAAGTCAATCGTAGCTACTACTGCAGTGCAAATGAGTTATCCATTACGCCTCTAGACTCCATACAGTATCAAGTATCAAATTCCGTGATCGTGCACATCTATGCCTTGGCCTTCCTCTGCTTCTCCTTCTCCAGCTTTCTCCTTTTGGCACGGAGCTTCTCGTCTTCGGCGCTCTTCTTGTTGTTGGTGTACTGCATCTGCTCAAAGAGCTTGCGCTTCTTCTTGCTGAGCATGCCCTTGGCGCGCTCCAGGTCCTCGGCCTCCTCGCGCGACTTCTTGGCCAGCGCTTTGCGCGCGTCCTCCTTGGCCTTGGTCTTCTTGTCGCCCGACTTGCTGTTCACGGCGCCGCCAGCAAGCTCCGCCTCGAGCTCAGCCTGGCGGTCGTCTTCCGAGGCATCTTCGTCCTCTTCGTCCTCCTCCTCGTCTGCAGAGAACCCACCAAAGGCGTCATCGCTTTCCTCGTCCTCATCGTCAGAGCCAGCCACATCCATATCGTCAGCGAGTTCATCCTCGCCCTCTTCATCGTCGCTACCGGCTTGGAGCTTCTCGAGCTCGGGCTCCTGCTCCTCCAGAGGCATCGTGGGATCGTAGGCGCCGTTGACGCTCTTGACAAAGGGACTCAAGTGAGGTGGCAGAGAGGTTCCGGGCGCGTACAGATGAGGCTCCTTGATCTCGCCGTCGTTGATGCTGTCCCACACCCACTGAGGCTGAACGTAGACGCGTCCAGGTACCCTCCTGTTGGCGGCCAACTTTTGCGAGGTCTGGTTGTCCTCCGCGTCCTCGCTTGCCTCCGCCGCAGCCTGGATAGGCGGCCTGTCCACAATCTGGTGTGTTATTGAAGGGTCGAGCTCATTGGTTGTGTATGCGCCGTCGCCGAGAACAGCATCCCAACCGACGCGCTTGCAGCCAAAGGCCTTGAGCAAGAGCTCCAAAGGCTGGCGGGGTGTCTCACGCGACAGGAAGAAGGTGGTGTTGGCAAACAGCGACCGTTTCGAGGAGTCGCTGGCCTCGGGCTGGGGCAGAACGTCACCACCCTTGGCGGCAACCTCGAACTTGTCAAGCTCACCAGCCGCCTTTTCCTCCTCCGCAGCCTCGTCCTGCGCCGTCGTGTCCTCGCCGTCGTTCGCCTCGCCGTTGCCAATCTGTTTCAAAACCTTGTCAACCTCGGCCTGGACCTTGGGATCGGGCTTGTGTGTGGACGGCTCAATCTGTTTCCCGTTCTCAGTGCCGGCAATGGTCAATCCCTCCAGGGTGAAGGCGCCGAGCTCTGCAGCATTCTCGTCCATGACCTGGTCGAACTTGGGTGGGTACTTGAGGCCCAGCGAAGTGTAGAGCTTGAAGTTGACGAAACCGAGGAGCGTCATGTAGAACTCGACGAATGTGCCCATGATGCGGAAATCAACGTCGCCCACAACGCGCTGGTTGAACTTGTACGGCACCAGCCACAGAACGTCGACGCCCTTGATGTTGGCCTGGTAGTAGATACCCTTGATCGACAGGAACGACTTGGTCAGGCTGCGCGAGGAGATGAGGTAGTGTTGGAACTCGAGGCACAGGCGAGAGCAGCGGTCGATCATCTTGGCGGGGACGGACGAGGTCGAGGGCAGGTTGGCGAACAGGAACAGCATCGACAGACAGTCGTCCAGATCGCGCAGCGCATCGATGAACGTCGGGTATCGCTCCTTGATCACATGGTCCAGGGTGTAGCGGGGCTTGCCCGTCTTCTCGGGTCGCGCCGCATTCTTCTCCAAACGCGCCGCATCACCAACATCACCGCGTCCGAGCGCCTTGGAGATCTTCTTCTCGAGCGCCTTTTGGTCGCGGAACTTTTGCAGCAGCGGCTCGTGGAGGAGGTACTGAATGTCCTTGGCGTAGTAAAAGGTGGTCGAGCTGGTCGCCGACTTGGAGACCTTCTTCTTACTGCGCGGCTCGCGAGGGTAGATGCCCTTCCAGATACATAGCTTGCGGAAGTCGGGGAGGCTGATCTGGAGCTTGCGAATGGCCTGGTTTCGGGTGACGTAGTTCTTGGCCGCGCCGGCCTGGCCCTTCTTCTTGATGCGAGGCATGATTTTGTGATCGCAATGGGTTTGATGAAGTAAAGCAGAGCAGCAAATAATAGGCGGCGGGGCACTTTTCGCTGGGAAGATTTCCTCGACCTTTTTTTTCCAGCCGAATTTTATTGCCAGAGTAGACCGCCGTGGCCGGGTGACAAAAGGGGACTAGCGCACAGCCGTGCCGGGGGTCCACCACGCTCACCGCCCGGACGCCTGCGCCACGAGACCCCTGCAGCTCACAAGCCACAGTTGCTGAACCACCTCCACCATCCCTCCAAGCAAGCAAGCAACCAAGCACGCAAGTGGCTTGGTTTTGTGGCCAGCTGTTGTTGATGACAACCAACGTCTGCTGCCCCTCGACCAGGTCTGCCATGTCATGCCGGAGACAATGACATTGCGAGGCAAAGCTGGCATATATGCCGGCGCGGCACTCCTGCGATTGTTGCTCTTCGTGGCCTTTCCGAGTCTGCCAGACTTGTTGACGTCGCGCGTCGAGATCTCGACCCCGGTCACAAGCTTCAAGAGGTGTAAGTTCGGTTTCGCGATGCGCCGTCCGATGCCGCTGGCTGACCATTCCGACTCCAGTGCAGGAAGGTCTGTTTCTATACAATCACAATGTGTCGCCCTACGACGGTGGCGTCTTCCACCAGGCGCCGCTGCTCCTACCGCTCTTCTCCCTCCTCCCTGATGTGAGGGCACTGCCGATCTTCACGGCGCTGCTGTACATCTTGGTGGACATCCTCAGCGCAGAGGCGTTGATGAGGATAGCCGCTTCCGGAGAGGCTGTTCAGTCCAGGCTGTTCACGTCTCCCAGGCGCATCAGGCAAGCTTCCAGCTTGGTCGTGGTGGCATGGTACGCAACCCCCGCTCACGAAACCCGAGGGATACGCACTAACCACCTCCTCAGCTACCTCTTCAACCCATTATCCATCGCGAGCTGTCTCGGTCGGACGACGAGCGTCTTTACGAATTGCGCGACACTCTGGGCCGTCGCCAAGGCCATTGACGGCTCTCCCTTCAACGCCATGGTTGCCCTGTCCTTCGCCTCGTACCTGTCAATGTACCCACTGCTACTGCTTCCGCCGACGATTCTCCTGGCGTACGACCACCAGCTCCTTAAGGGCCGTACACAGGCGGCTCCTACTTTTGCAGTCAAGAACGTCGCCATCGTACTTGTTGTCTTGGGGATGCTGCTGGGCATGTCCTGGGCTCTGGACAGCCAGTCGTGGGAGTTCCTCGGCCGAACCTACGGCATTCAACTCACGCTGAACGATCTGAATCCCAACGTCGGCCTGTGGTGGTACTTCTTCATCGAAATGTTCGACTCGTTCCGGTCCTTCTTCCTCGCCGTCTTCTGGCTCCATCTCTCCTCGTACGTCGGAGGACTGTCGATTCGTATCAGGACACAACCTTTGGTCGTGATTGTTCTTTTGCTGGGGATCTTTTCCATCTTCAAGCCGTACCCGTCGATCGCGGACACGAGTCTGTTCCTGGGCACGCTGCCCTTGTACAGGCATGTCTTCCCGCTCATGAGGTACAGTTTTGTGGCCGCCGCCGTCTTGGCCTACGCCACGTTCCTTGGCCCGGCGTTTTTCCATCTCTGGATCTACGCCGGCAGCGGGAATGCCAATTTCTTCTACGCCATCACATTGGTGTGGAGCTTGGGCCAGTCCCTCCTCGTGTCTGACCTCACCTTTGCTACGCTGCGTGACGAGTGGGAGGTGGAGCGACCAGAGATGGTCGGGAAAGAAGTGAAGCAAATATAGTACACGCGAAAGGAGCAGGGGAAAAAAAGGGTTGCCCACGGGTTGCATGACCGCGCGCGGCAGGGCTGGCATTAGATATAGATGCATCATCTGGGAAATGCTTACAAGACTAATGTACATTACAATACAAGACAAGCAAGCGATCGAGTTTAGTCAACATCCGAGTCCATCTCTGCCAACCGGCCTGCCGGTGCATTGCCTGCATTCGCCATAGGCGACGACTGCGCCCCCAAAGCGCTGTTCAGCATGAATCCCAGATCGCCAAACTGGCTCAGTCCAGTGCCGCCTCTCGCGGCGCGCCACGTCTGGACCCGCGCGCCAAAGGGGGGCATCGCCTTGTAGTACATGAAGCCGTAGCCCATGGCCACGCCTGTGACCATGACGCTCACCGCCAGCATGAGCGCCCTTCCGTCCACGCCTGTGATGCCCTGCTCTCGGCGGTGGCGCTTCTCGGTCGCATAGTGCTCGCCGATCCCTGGGGCGTTGAGAACGCACGTATCCAGCATCTGCCCAACGGCGCCCGGGAAGGACCCGTTTTGTGGGGAAGGGACTGGGAGCTGACCTGGGCTGGAAAAGCACTGCGATTTCATGGACGCCACAAATGCTTGGATCCTGGGTGCCTTGTCTCCGATCCACTCCTTCAGAAACGCCCTTGGCACGGGAGCGTCCAGCATGAGCGCGAGATACCCAAAGGCGAAGCAGTCGACAGAGGACAATTGTGGCCGGAGGAGGTAGCCATCGTGCTCGGCCAGCAGCTCCTCCAGCAACTCCAGCCCGGTCTCGGCGAGGCTGAAGAGGCGGATGGCGGTGGCTTGCTCGGGTGTCATCTCCTCCCTCACGGTCTTCTTGCCCACCACGGGGAGATGTCTCCGGAAGGACTCGGGGAGGGACTCGCGTCCTGTGCTGAGGTGCAACCCCGCATTGGGATCGAAATCGGTGTCGAGCTCTGCTAGTCCGAGGTGCTCTGTCCGCTGGAGAGCCTCGTGTCGGATGAGCGGCGGGAGGGTCCATGTCAGTGGGAAATGCAGGATTTTGGAGTATGCTGGCCGTGTGGTGGCGGACCAGTTGCCCGCCGAGACATAGAGTGATAGATCGAGGAGAGGCGCCGTGCGTGTGGCGATGAATGATTTGAAGGCTTTGCTGTCTGCTTTTTGGCGTGCAGTGAGATCCGCGTCGAGAGGTGTGACGAGGCCGTGGGAGGTGAGGTATGAGATGATGTTGTCAAATCCGCTGGTCCATACACCGTCGTGATTTAACGCCGGGAAATGACCTGATTGCATGAGTTTCTGGTACCACCTGTGAATGAACTTGACGTTGGTACGTACTGGCTGGGCTGAGAGAAGGGTCGTTGCTTGGGACGAGACGCCATGATGAAGCAGGGGCCGTTTTGCACAAATAGGCAATGGTCGCGAGACATTCGGCGTCGATCGAGGGCAGCCCGAACGCGGCGTCCCAGACGAACAGCTCCAGCATCGGGGCGAGATGAGTGCGACTTTGGCACGGGGCAATACGATGAGAATGGTCAGTGGCCCAAGTTGAAGGGCTCATGTCGAAGCCTGAAGTCGTCGCGGTTCGTCGCGACGACACGTGACATGACAGTCTCTGCCCCTCAGGCCTCAGCGTCGTTGACTCGCTTTGAGCGAGAACACTACATCCATGTCGACTACATCAACACTTCAAGAGCCATGCTATGTACGCTTCGATCGTAAGAATAATGCCTCTCATTTGATCCGAATTCATTCACACTGCTCTGTGAGCCTACAGCACATTCAAGCAAACGCACAATGGCGTTCGCCGCCAAGGCAAGCTGCACCAGGCGATCAGCCCTAGGTACACGTATCGTCAGGCACATGAGAACTATGTTCACGCTGAAGACAAGCCAAAACGGATGATGCAGAAGATACGGCTAAGCTTTGACTGCCTAACTACGGAGTACGGCCCCTAAACGATGCCAAACCACTCCAGATCCTCTTGCTCAAAGTGGGGGGTGTTGTGCGTCACGCCCGCGCCCAGGGCGCCCACGAGCTTGTCCCCGTACACCCTCTTGGTGAAGGGCGGAGCCGGGTCGTTGGGGTCCGTCTCGATGGGGGAGTTGGGATCGTACCCGAAGACGCCCGCCCACTGCTTGATCGTCTCTTCATAGTTCTGCGGGTAGAGCGTCGTGTCCGCGTCGCCGTGGTAGATGGTCATCCGGGGATACTCGCCCTGGTAGCCCGGGTACATGTCATGGACGACCGAGGCCCACTGCTCCGGCGTGGCGATGGAGTGGCCCCCGGAGCAGGTCGAGTTCCAGCCGTTGACGGTGCCCGTGTAGAAGCAGCCGGCCGGGACACCGGAGTAGACGGAGCCGGCCTGGAAGAGGTCTGGGTACGTGGCGGCCATGACGTTCTGTCGTCTCGGTTAGCAAGCGTTCTACGGGGGGAAGACAAGATGGAATGGGCACTCACGGTCATCATGGCGCCTGAGCTGCTGCCCGTTACAAAGACGCGGCTGGCGTCCACGCCGTACTGGCTGATGGAGTACTTGACCATGCTGGCGATACCCTGGCTGTCACCGCCACCCTCGTGCGTGAGGGTCGCGTCGGAGCTGACGTCCCAGCAGCCCCCGCTGTACGGCGACTCGGGGTAGACGACGATGAAGCCATGCTGGTCGGCCAGGTTGGCGTACTGGGTGCCGCCGTAGTAGGCCTGGGCGGTGCCGGTGCAGTAGTGCACGGCGACGATGAGAGGTGGGTTGGCCGGCAGGTTGTCGGGCTTGTAGACGTACATGCGCACGTTGGACGGGTTGGAGCCAAAGTTGGAGACCTGCTGCAGCTGGGCGGCCGCGGCCAGGCCCAAGAGGGTAGATGCCCACGCGAGAGTCTTCATGGTGTCTTCTGTGTATATGGTGTGTGTGTCGTGACGGTGCCAGTGGAGGATGCAGAGGCGGTGATCCGATGCTCGTCATCCCGGGCATGACGCCTGTTTATATGTCCGTTTCAACTTTAACCCGAACAAACGTGATAACTGACGATCCTGTCCTCGGAGGAACGTGGTCCGTCGATGCCAGGTACATATCTGGCTGGGATGGCCATGTCAGTGCCGGACAGCCGGCGGGGCGCGTTTCAAGTGCCGGTGCGCATAATGCGACGTACGTTGTATTCTCCGGGCTTCCTGGGGGAAACACGGCACATTTGATGTAAAGTGTTTATATAGCCGGTCGAGTGCCTCCACGCAGACGTAGCGGAGGAGGCTAAAAACACACAAGTGCCGATCGGTCACAAGTATGCGGCTAAAAAAGCTGCGTTCGTATATAGCCTGAAGTAGATACCCCGGAATTTGTGATGCGCACGATACATATGCGCCGCGCGATCTGCCGAGGAGTCTCTTGCTGACCGTGGTCGTATTACGTACCAGATGGACGCCTGCATCGAGGCTTGGACAGTGACAACATGAATGCTGCCCTGCGCAGACGGAAATTGATAAATGCGGAGGCGAAAGCCCCGTACAGTGCCCGCAGATGACACTTCCGAGATCCAGGCAATTGTATGAAGAGGTTGATTGACTGAAGTTGATTCAACACGATGCTAGACTTGCCTTTACTTGCTTTCGGAGGCGTCCCTCCCCTTGAGTGTCGTCAACCCCGTCTTGTGCTCCTTGTGCTCCTTGCTCAGGTTCACCTGCTTGATGCCAAAGGCAATGCACAGGCCGACGGCCGCAAAGACCGTGTACACAATGTACATGGTCTGCAGGGCGTTCCAGTAGGCCTGTCTGGCAATCTCGCCGTCCGGCCCGTCCAGGCTGGCCACCAGCTGCACGTTGCCCGCCGCGTTGCTCCCGGACAGGCGGTTGGCGAGGCCGGGCTCCTGGAGGACGGAGGCCAGGTGGCCCTGCTGCTTCTGCATCTCATTGTTGAAGATGACGCCGCCGATGACGACGGACACGCTCGTCCCCAGCTGCCGCAGAAACGCAAAGCTGGACGTGGCCGAGCCAATGTCGCTCGGCTCCACGTTGGTCTGCAGCGCGATGAGCGGCGACTGGAAGTTGGGGCCGATGCCGATGCCGGCGACGATCTGGAAGATGATGATCTTGGCCCAGTCGTGTTGGGGGCTCAGGTCGATGAAGAGACCGAAGCCGAGCGTCGCAATGGCCATGCCGCCGACGATGAGAATCTTGTACTTGCCCGTCTTCTTGATGATGACGCCGGTCGCGGCGGACACGAGGGACAGGGAGACGACAAAGGGTAGAAGATATACACCCGAGAGGAGGGACGTGGCGCGCAGGACGCCCTGGAAGTAGAGCGGCAGCCAGTAGCTGCCGGACATGAATGTGAATGCGTGGAAGAAGCCAAACGCGTAGCTCGCGACGCTGTTCCTCGACTTGAAGAGGCGGACGGGCATCACAGGGTACTTGGCCACCTTGGCCTCGTTGATGACGAACAGACCAATGGTGACGATGCCGAACACGATGAGACAGATGACCGTGGGCGAGGCCCAGGGATAGGTGACGCCGCCGAACTCGAGGCCGAGCAGGAGCATGAGGGTGCCGCCGATGATGAGGACGCTACCCGTCCAGTCGATCGCCTTGAGGCCCTCGCGCATCGGGGTGCGTGGGTTGTGCAGCTTGAGGACGAAGAAGAGGATGATCATGCCGACGCCGGAGATGGGCAGGTTGATGTAGAAGCACCACCGCCAGGAGACCTTGCTCGTGAAGAGGCCACCCAGGATGGGACCGAGGGCGGACGCAATGGCCCAGATCATGCCGAGGATGCCAAAGTACATGCCCCGGTTCCGCATGGAGAAGAGGTCCGAGATGCAGATGTTGGGGAGCACAATGGTGCCGCCGCCGCCGATGCCCTGGATGGCGCGCGCACCGATGAGCATGCCCATGCTCGTCGAGACGCCGCACAGCAGACTCCCGATCCAGAAGATGCCCACGGCCGCCAGGAGCACGGGTTTGCGGCCCCAGATGTCGGAGATCTTCCCCCACATGGGCGCGAAAGCCGAGTTGCCCAGGAGGTAGGCGGCGCCGACCCAGATGTAGCCCAGGGAGGAGTTGAAGTGCGCCGAGATGGTGGGGATGGCTGTCGTGATGATGGTGACGTCGAGGGCGGCCAGGAAGAGCGCGAGACAGAGGGCGAAGATGATGAGGAAGTTTTCGAGCTTGGTGCGCTGCGCTTCCGGTTCGTCTGGTGATGCTGCTGCTGGGCCTGGCGCATCCGTCTCGACGACATTTTTCTCTGCACTGGATGTGGCGGCTGGGCCCTGACGTTGGGCTGATTGCGTCTGTGAAGCGGCGCCAGCCTCGCGCTCAATGTCGTGCTCATTCGCGGTGCTCTCGGAGCTCGTCCTCCTCTTGTCGTCGCCCATGATGCTGCTGTCCGTCATGATGGCACTGGAGTGCAAGAAGACCAGGATGAACTTGACCAGCAGAGCTTGCGCGCTCGCTCACTCACGTACGTACGTACGCGCAGACTCGCTCGTGGACTCGACAAATGAATTAATAATAATTTGACCGACTCGGGGGCGATCTCGGAAATAAAAAGACCCCAGGTGCAGAATGGAGCCATCATACATGTACATAAGCAGGGCGTGGGTCGTCGCGGAGGCAGCCGACAAAAGGACCCGGTCTGTCGAGTACCATGATGGACTTCGCTGGGCTAAGAGCATTTGGGCAAAGAGACTGAAGCGCGAAGGCGCGAGATGCGATGCAGGGTGCCAGCCCATCCCGGAGCATTTGGATGAATTACGTACGATGGAGGATGGAGGTGCCGGCGTCGGAGTCGGAGTCCGACGGGAGCCGGTTGCGGCTGGTCTGGTCTAGGGTAGTCATAGTGCACGACGACCACCGCGAGTCGACTCTGTAGTCTGTACTGGGTTGCGATGAACCTGCGCTTGGGTATTAAAAGACGACCCTATTCGTTAATCATGAAAGCCATCATATCTCATGCCGCTTACTCCCAATAACTCCAGACACCACCCCCAGGCCCCAACCCTAAAAAACCGTTACGGTATTCACATATCCATTCCTCAACACCTCAAACACCAGACCAGGAAACCCAAACAGCGTCGTCGTCGAGTCCCCATTCGAAGCCGACGACGACCCCTCGATCCGGCCGCTGCTGTCCTCCCACCCCCCGAGCAGCTCGCAGCTCGAGCCCGGCGAGTCCCCCCAGCCCCTGTTGAGGACCATCCCCTTGCCGCCGCGCTCCGACATGTGTTGCATCCACGTGTCGCCCATCCGCGCCTCCACGTCCGCAAAGGGGGACTCGGACGTGATCGGGTCCGAGCCCAGGTAGGCCACCTCCCAGCGTAGGCGGCGGTGGCGGTTGAACTCGTACGACCCGGGGATGTTGCCGTGTAGCACAATCTTGGTCGCGACCAGTCGGTCCGGGTGATGTGTCTTGATCTGCCCCTGCTGCTGCTGCTGCTGCTGCCCAGGCGGTGCCGGCGAGGGACTGACGGGCGTCGACAGGAGGACGTCGAAGCCGAGGTAGAAGTAGTTGTAGAAGCACTCGCCCGACGGGTCCCCGTGCACGCCATCCTCCACCGTCATGGCCTCCTCGTCCGAGTCCTCCTCGCTGCCCGTGTTCATCGACGAGTGATCCGTGTCAGTCAGCTCCTCCGGCCGTAGACTCGTGTGGCTCGGCCGGTCCCGCGCGTCGCTGGCCGCCGTGCGCATCTTGTGTATGACCATTCTCTGGTCGTTCTTGCGGTAGATGGCGCTCGGGGGCCCCAGCTCGCGCACCAGGTCCTGCGGCGTCGTCTCGCCGAGCTGGATGACAAAGGAGGCACCCGTGGGCTGCCACTTGCGCTGGAGCTCGACCTTGCCGCCCCCGTGCAGCCTCGCCAGCGAGACCTCGTCGGGGAACACGTCCTTGCTCTTGGGGATCTGCCCCGTCACCTTGCAGCTCGGCAGCACCTCGGTCCACAGCGTCGGTCGCGACTCGGCCCAAGAGGGTCCGCTGAAGATCGCCATCGAGGTGGCCTCTTTCTTGGCCAGCAGGGTCACGGCGCCCGTGTTGGCCTCGCACTCGTCGGCCGTGAGGGGGAAGTTGAATGCCACGCCAGGGTACGAGAGGACGTAGAGGGCGCCGCCGCCTTCGTCGCTGTTGTCTGCATTCGCTATGAACTCCCCTTCATACGTCGGTCCAAAGAGACGATTGTAGATGTGCTTAAAGGTCGGTCGACCCATGGTCTCGCCGGGGCGCACGAGGTCCCTGTCGTTGAAGGTGATGTGGTTCTTGCCAAAGTCGAGGATTTCGATGAGACGCAGCCGCTGTTCGGGCCCGTCGAAGCACAGGCGCATGCCGTTCTGCGGGAGGGATACACGCACGGGCTCGGTGATGGGCTGGCTGGGGGAGTAGAGGAGTTGGATGTGGGGGAACCGCTGGGGCTCTGCCTTGAGGCGGGTCAAGACATCGTGTAGCGATGCGCCGAGGACTGTGCTTGTCAGTGTCGTTCGAGCTTGATCTGGGGAGAGCGTTATACTCAGGAAGCCTAGATAGCGCCCTGGCTTGAGCTCGGCTGTGAAGAGGTTCGACATAGTGGGGGCTGCCTAGACGCGGTGCAACAGGGCGAGTCCGTTTCTATAGTGCTGTTGCGTCGAGCCATGCGGCGAGAAGAGTTTGGTGCGAGACACAAAGAGTTGGATTATGAAGAAGAGAAGCTTTGTCTTCTGGATTGCTGTTAGAGATGGTGCATCCAGTGCATGTAAGGTAGATGATGCTCGGCCATGTGACTGAACGGCTGGCGGCGGGATGACGCGGGGCAGGCAGGCAGGCAGGCAGGCAGGGCAGGCACCTGACGGCATGACACGCGCCAGGGGTCCAGGTACCTTATCTTAGGTACTTTACCTACCCTATGCGCCCTACCAGGTACTAGGTCAAGCACCACGACAACGATAGCTCCAGCCGATATTGCAGTATGATTATGCATTCGCCTAGCGGGAAATCAGTAGAGTATTGGATTGCTGTACAGTACAAACAACTAAAAGCAGAGGAACGCAGTACAGGACTGTGTCTTAAATATGTTCAGGTCATGAAACCCATCCCCTTTCCCACCTTTGCCCTCCAGTCCCGCAAAAATCTCCCCAGCTTTGACAACATTCCTCCGAACCCTGTTGTAAAAGGTTCTCACCACCGTCACAATCGCAGATCTCGCCTTTGATTACCTACAGGTCGTGGGTTGAGACGAGGGATTTATAATTATGTTGGTGCATAGAAATGATATCGACTTGCACATAGCTTCTTCTAGAGGTGCTATGAAAGAAGCTTAACATTTGGATAAACGGATGACAGATAGTACGCACCTCGAGTAGTGGGTGGGTGGGAAGCAACGTCTTCCGGGATTTTTGACGGACATTGACGGTGACTTTGGCGGAGACTTTTTTGTCATCGCCGTTGAATTCACCCCGGCGCATGCCGATTCACCAGTGTCGGATGATCGACATCAAGTTCTTTGTGCCACGAACCGACATTCATTCAAGAGATGACCATGCCGGTGCAAACAGAAAACATCAAAGTATGGGAATCTCATAGGCATGAACACAAGTATAATACAACCCATTTAGAACAAACCTCATGCTCCTTGGCCTACTTTCCTCTTGTCCGTGTATATCCCAAGGTCCGCCCTACTGCATGGAAATCTCTACCCACTACGACACAGAAACAAGGGTCTCTTCCTCATGTCTCAATGCAGGTGTCCGATGCTGAGCCTGTTGATTTTGATGCTCCTGCAACGTCGCCACCATGGCGGTAAGCTTGTCGATCCGTCGCATAAGCTCAGCATTGCTGGGGCTATGATCGGCGTGATCACCATCCTCCGCGGCACCCCCCCAGTCGGTCCCCGCCGCTGGCGACGGGCGGTACCCTGGGTGAAGATGCTCCGAGTAGCCGAGAGGCCGTCTCTGCGCTGACAATGAGTTGAACCGCCGACGGTACGATGCTGGTAGCTCTCCAGAGCCGCGGTCCCTTGCGGTGCGAGAACGTCCGGCCGGGACATCGCGGTGTCTCGGTGGTGGTGGAGCCTGCGAGTTGCTCCTCGTGCGGCCTCCTGAGAAACTCTGCCCGGCTTCCCTCTCCAAGATACCCGTTCCCGCTATCTTGCGGCACAGTGACTCGTAAAGCTGGATAAGAAGGACAACCGGGGCATGTGTAATTTTGAGGGCGACAACGCGAGAATGACGGAAGCGGTCATCTTTGGGGAAGATGAGGCGCCACGGTCTGAAGAAAACGAGGGCAATTATATTAAAGGGCGGCAGGAAATGGGTCAAGCGCGAGCTGGTCGATGCTTCCAGGACGTAGACACTGTACACGTAGAGATACTCTTCGCGGGACTGTGCCATGACACGACCGAAGCTGTTGGAGAGCATACCGGTGAGGGTACCTGTGAGGAGAATCGAGCTAAGAGTGATAAACAGGAGCATCAGGGGCGGGCCAAAGTTGACGTCGATGTCATTCATGATACGAAAGGCAATGTTTGTATTGCCGTAGAAAATCTGGGTGATCTCCCAGGTCATAGTGCCGAACGTGAATGTGTCACGGGAGATGAGGGAGAAGGTAGTCAAGAAGCCGAGATAGACTATAACGACAAGGATCATGAATTTGACAAAGTCCTTGCCCATCTCCTTGAGGCAAGGGATGAGCGTGCCCCAATAGGGGCTGAGACTGAGGAAGGAGAAGATGCGGGGCACCACGAGGAGGGCTTCGAGAGAAAGAATGTCGAATGCAGTGTTGGTGACGGCGAGGTTACTCATCGTGATGCCAATGACACCTAGAGTGGAGGAGAATTAGTGAGCCAGGAGTGGACGGATGTGATACAAGATGGTGGGAAATGATCTTACGAAGGACGGCAAACGTAACACCAAGTGTTATCATGCTCATGTCGAACAAGTTCCAAATGTCCGTCATGTAGAAGATTCCGGCGTCGGCCCACTCCTGGAACTCGTCCCACAAGAACGAGACCAGCCAGATATAGAAGGCTACCTCTACCATCGGGATAGAGGTAAGATTGCGTTGAAGCACAACACTGTAGTAGAGGGCAAGGAATATGGCGAAGAAGAATGCCTCCCATGCTTTCAGGTACCTGGGCACTCGGAGACGGGAGTAAGGGTCCGTTGTCCGGGGATTATAGTAGCGGGGCATTCGGGTCGCTGTCGCTGACACTGAGTCCCAGAAGATAATATCACCATTCCAAAGACCGGTAATGATCTTTTGCACAATGTACTGGCTCAAGAACCGTTTTGCGTTGGCGATGGCTGCGATCTCGAGCGCGTTCAGGTTCTTGAATGTGGAATTGGGGTCCGCCTGCCCCGTTATCGGGTGGTACGCTGCGTTATCACCATTCAAGTCGCCGGGGTTGTTCTCGATATCGGAATCGACATCGGCCACCATGGTCAGTTTTGGGATCGCCTGCATCAGCTGAGCACGTCTGGTCGAGCCTACAGACGGCCTTCCTGAGCCGTTCCCTACGCTGTTCCCTAGCAGTGGAGAATACTCGGTCGATTCCTCGTTGTGGTATAGAAACGTGTTGCTCGACATGAGCGCCGTTGCGTCGAGCGCCTCTTTACCGGGGATCTCGTAGAGGCAGTAGTCGACTGCTTCTCGCTCTGAAAGACTGGTGAGGAAGCGCCACGCTACAATCTCGCACGCGTTTCCGCGCGCTTCACTCAACCCCCTGTGCTCCTTGTCCGTGACGTAATGCCATCGCAGCGCCCTACAGCGAGAATATTAGCGTTGGACATGAGGTCAATTGGAGCCAACCAGAAGAGGAGAACGCCATGGACGTACAATAGTGCGCTGACGATGGTTCTGTTCTTGCATGTATGACCAAGGTGCTCGACCAGGGCCATGAGGCCATCTCCGGCTGATGTTGTTCTCAACTGTTCGAAGCTGCTAGGGAGCTCTACTACATCGGCAAAGAAGCTATTGTTCGAGTCGTGACTAGCGTTAGTAGAGTTTAATAAATCGGCGGGCTAGAAACATTCCATGAATAGGGTTCCACATACAGAGAAAGCTTCTTGATGACTTCCTGGAACGACTCGTGCTGCTCAATATGGGGAAGATCCCATTCATGGTGGTACGCCTCGGGAGCGGGCGACTCTTCCCTCTCACCTTGTCGTTGAGCCTTCAGCCTCAACGGCATTATCGCGGCTCGGAAGATAACTGACGAACGAGTGAATGACAAGAAAAGTCACAGCAATGCAGGCAGTTTGGACCAGATCTGCTTGCTTCCTTATCCTGACCGAAGTGATCTAGCTAAGAAAGTGGATGACGCGGGGGAGGCAGCCAGGGCAGGCACCTAACGTCATTAGACACGCGCCAGGGGCCGAGGTACCTTACTTATCATATACAAAATACCTACCCTGCGCGCCATCAAGTGAAGCACCACGACAGCTCTAGCCGATATTACAGTATATACATTCGCCTATTAATCAAACATCTATTCAGTGCTGGCCCATCCCACCAGATAATCACCACGCCTCGACCTCGCCGCGCTTGGGCTTCTGCATGCGCACCACCTTGTCGCAGTTGAGTAGACACAAGGGGTCAAACGCCTTCTTGATCTGCCGCATCGCGTCCACCGTCGTCTCGCCCAGCTCGTGCGCGAGGTAGTCCCTCTTGACGAGGCCGACGCCGTGCTCACCCGTGACGGTGCCCTCCATCTCGACCGCCTTCTTCACCATGCGGTGCACCACCGTCTCGGCCTTTTGGCGCTGTGCCTCGCTGTAGATGATGATGCTGTGAAAGTTGCCGTCGCCCACGTGGCCCACAATCGTCCCGAACAAACCGCTCCGCCGGAGGTCCTCCTTGGTGGCCTCGATGAGGTCCGGCAGCCGGCTCATGGGCACGGCCACGTCGCCCGTCCACACCCTGTCGCCGGGTCTCTTGACGGCCATGGCGCTCCACAGCGCCTCCTTGCGCGCGCTCCATAGCTCGTCCCTCTCCTCCTCGTTCCGGGCAAACTCAAACGTCTTGCTGCTCGCCTGCTTCGCCAGCGCTTGCACCTGCGCCACCTGCTCCTTGACGCCGCTGGGCGTGCCGGCAAACTTGAAGAAGAGCGTCGGCGCCTCGGTCCACGCGCGGGACGTGCTCCCCGCGTCGTTGATGCACTTCATCTGGTTCTCGTCGAGGATCTCGACCGCCGCGACGGGGATGCCCGCGCCGACTACCTTGGCGACGCACGTCGCCGCCTGCCGGATCGAGGGGAAGGACGCAACGGCGACGCTCGTCGAGGCCGGCTTGGTCGTCACCTTGAGCGTCGCCTCGGTCACGAGGCCCAGGGTGCCCTCGGACCCGATGAGCAGCTTGGTCAGGTCGTAGCCCGCCGAGCTCTTCCGCGGGCGCTGCCGCGTCTTGATAATGGTGCCGTCGGCCAGGACCGCTGTGATGCTAATCACCCACTCCCGCATCGTGCCGTACCGGTACGCGTTGGTGCCGGAGCAGCCGGTGCCGATCATGCCTCCAATCATGGCGCCCGGGCCCGGGTCCGGCGGGAAGAACAGGCCGTCCTTGGAGAGCTCCTCGTTCAAGTGCTCCCACCCGACGGCCGGCTGGACAACGACATCGAGGTCTTCCTTGTGCAGCGTGACGATCTTGTCCATGCGGCCAAAGTCCACCGAAATACCCTGCCGCGTGGGCGTAAAGTGACCCTCGAGACTCGTCCCGCCACTGTAGCCGACGACGGGAATCTTCCTCTTGTGGCACACCTTCATAATCTCCGACACCTCCTCGGTCGTGGCCGGGTACACGACGCAAAAGGGTCTCTCGTCCGGCCCAGCCTTGTGCGAGGACCAGTCGCTCGTCGCGTGCGCCGCCAGGTCGTCCACCACCGTGCTCACATTGTCCTTGCCGACGAGCTTGACAAAGTCGGCCCACGCGGCCTGCATATTCTCCAGCCGTGTGTCGTGGCTCACGCCGGGTGCCTGCGACAAGGGCGTCGTCGACGTCGTGTCCGGGTTGCGCTCCCAGTAGGTGCCCGCCCAGTACGCGACGCCAATGGAGGCCACGAACATAAAGGTGGTGGACCAGTTGCGCGCGGGATCGACCTGCTTGCGCCACTCCTCGTATCGTGCGCGCTGCTCCTTCTCGCGGTTGAGGCGCTGGGAGATGGAGCCCATGACCTGCCCCTGAAAGGAGCGGCCGAGCTTGTGGTCGTTGGCCTGGCGGGGAGGGCGCGGGCGCTCGGGTTCGATCTCGGTGGCGTAGGTTCGGGTGGCAGAGGATGGACATGTGGACGGGGCGAGCGAGGCGGCACGCCAGCTGCGGACGGCGCTGGCCGGGACATGGCGATGGAGTCGAGCCGTCATCGTTGCCGCGGGCGGTGGGGTGGAGACGATGATTTTTGAGAGCAAAGGCTTCGACCCTTGGGAAGGGGTTGGGAGTCGAGAGCCAAGATGGTTGGCGCAATGCAGAATTGCAGATGTGAGGTTGATGGCGATGGGGTCCAGGTGGTCCGAGCTCACTTTGAGTACAGTGCGAGCGTATTTGGGCTAAGGTAACTAGGTGAGTAGATGGGCAATCTTTCACAATGGCTTTCGATTTTTATTAGTAGCACTATCTACTATTGTGACAATTTTTGACAGACACATTTGAGGTCATACCTTGCACCTCATCAGGTATGGTCGATCTAGTAAGTGAGGATGCCACAAGGCACAAGCTGCCACTCCGCCATGTGCCCAGCACAGTGCCCCCAATATTCCGGTGGCAGAAGCTCCTCAGAATTTCCTCAGGACGAACATCAATACATATCTACAAGAATTTGTATCCTATATGCCCACGAGGCATGGCCTCAGACATGGCGTCTGCCCTCAGAAGTCCCCTTGAAATCTCGAAGCACTTTGCCAGAGACATGGAGTGAGGGCATTTCTACAGCCAGCCTACAGCTTCGCCTTGGACTTGACATCGAGCGCATCCCACCACGGCCACGCGCCCGGTGCATCCCTCTCTATGCTCATCTCGAACTTGGGCGCCCTCTTCTCGAGGAAGCTCCCGACGCCCTCCTTGCTGTCCGCCCCATTGTACAGGTCAAAGAAGACCCTGCTCTCCAGCAGATGCGCCTCCTCAGGCGAGCGCGGGCCCCGGTAGATCATGTCCCGCATCACCCGCGCCGCCACCGTGCTCACGTTGCGCGCGATGCCCTCGGCGTACCCGAGCGCCGTGGGCAGGACCTCGTCCGCGGGCACGACGTCGCTGAACAGCTCCGAGAAGAGCGGCGACGTGGCCGGGTACACGGCGCCCGTGGTGACGAGGTGCAACGCCCGCGACGTGCCCACGAGCCGCGGGAGGTAAAAGGACGAGCAGGCCTCCATGTTGAAGCCGCGCTGCGCAAAGACGAAGCCAATCTTGGCGTCCTGGCTGGCGACGCGTATCGCGGAGGGTAGGGTCATGGTGATGCCCACGCCCACGGCGCTGCCGTTGATGGCGGCGATGATGGGCTTGTGGCAGTTGTGCATGGCCAGGGTGACGGTGCCGCCGCCATCGCGGTGCTCGCGGCGTGTTGGGCCGATGCGGTCGCCCTTGGCGTTGAAGTCCATGCCGGCGCAGAAGATCCTGTTGGCCTCGTCGGAGGAGGTGAGCACAATGGCCTTGACCCTGTCATCGCGGGAGAGCGTGTCAAAGGCCGTGATGAGGGAGGCCGCGAGCTCGTCGGTGAAGCCGTTGCGGGCGGCTGGGCGGTGCAGGGAGAGGATGATGACTGGTGTCGGCGTGGGAGAGGAGGCAGGGTGGTGGGAGAGGAGGATGCCGGGGAGGGAGAGGGCGCTGTAGCTGGGGGGGAGGTCTGGCATGCTTGGTTTGGGTGAGGTCTAGTGGATATGATGATGGCTTGATTTTGTTTGTGATGAACGACCTGGGCTGTCGTTATAATTACTGACTTACACGGCTGCATCTGGTGAGGGGCTGCCTTGGACCGAGGTTTAGTGGCGTACGGGGAATCTGGGGTAGCACCGCAGCGTCTCCTGCAGCCAGCAGAAGCTCACAACATCATGTTCATTGCACTAGGCTACACTGGTGACTGCAGGATCAACAAGACTGAATGTTTCCAAGATCTAGACGTCCTCAAACAGTCGCTGGTGACTGCTGTACTAGCCACGTCAAGCCAACCCTGCTCATCGTGGCTCTCAGCCAACTTACCCGGCATCCTTGGCGCTTCTCCTCGGACAATGAACAGCCAACTCCTGTCTCTCTTCTAAATCGAAATCATTAACAATGATTCTTGATGTAATACTAATCCATTGGATTGTCCACGACCTCACACTCACGTGACCCACCAATGATCCCACTGATCGGCCGCGTCTGGCTCCATCCCCGACGTCCACCCCTGGTGATCATGCAACCTTGGAACGGGCGCCAGTCGATCTTACAGTAGTCTCGTTCGATCCCCACATGGATTCCTCGTCTTTCGTCACTCCCTCTGGGCAGACGTAGGTATTATTACGGCTCACTTCAGACACCAAGACTCATCACGTTGGCGTCATGGCCTTTCTTGCTCGAGCACATCGTCACAGTAATTACCAAAGTGCGTGAAAATAAGTAAATTCGTCGCTAACAAAAGGAAAAACGTTAAAAATTAAAAAAAAATCATCGCTATTTTTTTGGACCCCCTCGTCGCAAAACAGACAGAGAGAGAGAGAGCCCCCAACTCCGTGCATGCCGTCTATGATGTGGTATCGCCGTCGTGGAAAAAGCAGAAGAGATCAACCAACATGAATCGTCCTGGCCTCGTACGTAGTGTCGTGTGCAGATGTTCCCTTCGTAAATGTCAAGAAACCCGTGGTATCGTCTCGTGAGGCGCCGCCCCTAGCTCAGGGCCCGGTCCTACCGTCGGCCCAGCTTCAGCAGCCTCGTTCGGAACCAGAGCACAAACGCCGTCCAAGCGCCCGTCGTCTTACGCTTCGCGTCGCGCCGGCGGTTGTTGGGCCCGAACCGCACGTCGTTCATGTCCGTGGGCCCGACGGGCGTCGTCGTCGTCGTCGCGGTCGACTGTCGCTGCTCTTCCTCCTCCTCTTCCTCGGGTTCGTGGGAGAAGAGACCGTTGGAGGCTTCCAGTTCCGACTTTTCGTGGGCGGTAGACCTTCGAGGCATGGCGGGGGGACGCTGCTCGGACGTGGAGGAGCGAGTGCCCAGTGAGCTTTTTCTTGCCTTGTGGTGATGATGGTGGTGGTGCTGCTTGCGTGTCTGCTCGCGCGTGTACTTCTCCTGCTTGGCGCGCTCCTTTTCCTCAAACTTGCGACGGGCAGCGCGGACCTGCTCCTGTCGCGTGGAGGTGTCGACGTCGCTGCGCGAGCGGATGCGAAAGTTGTTCATGTCGAGCGACGACCGCAGGGGTGATAGGGGACTGTTGGTCGCCGTTGCGGAGGCGGGTAGTTGGGCCACGGGGGAGTCGTCCACGACCGTCACGGAGGGTGTCGCGCTGAGCTGCTGGACGTCGGAAGACCTTGTCGGGCGACGGGACGTCGAAAGTCTCGGCAAGGACTCGCTGGGCTGCTGCGGTGATGAGGAGCCTCTAGCCACGAGCGATGGCCGTCGATGGCTGCTCGTGTGGATGCTGTTCTGGAGAGGCCTACTCCCCGGCGCCGGCAGGGGGAACGGCTCCAACTCGCCGTCGTTCTCGTCAATGGTCGTCGGCGAGTCGCGCGTGGTGGTCGTCGTGATGTTGTTGAGCGTGTCGAGCGAGGCGCGCCCGTTGGCGTACGAGAGCAGCGGGGGCGTCGACGTCCGCGGGGTCTGCTGAAAGGGGTGGACAAAGGAGCCGCCGTTGGTGTTGCGCGGGGTGCCGGCGCTGCCTGTGCTGGTCGCGATGGAGAACTGCGAGGTGCCCGAGGTGGAGCGGACGTGCGAGGCGGAGGAGGCTGTCGTCGTGGCGGTTTTGCTGCTGCTGTGGTTATTGGAGGGCGAGTCGATGGTTGTGCTGGCTGAGGACGCAGTGAGGGCGGGCGTGGCGGCGGGTGATGAGATGGCCATGGAGTGGATGGTGCCATTTGTTGGGCTGAGACTCAGGTCAGCTGGCGATAAGCTCGAGGCGAAGTTGACGGCGCCGGCGTACTGCTGCTGGTAGTACGGATGACTGTTGAGCAAATCGTCCGGATTAGCCTTTTGCGAGGCGGGCGTCGGGGTGGCCGTGCTGCTGCTGCTGTAGTAGTAGTCGTCCAGCGTGGGCGCGACGTAGCCCAGGTGCGGCGACAGCTGCTCGTCCCATCCACGGTCCAGGTCCAGCGAGTTCTTCTCCGAGTAGGATGACGAGTGCAGCTTGCGTAGCATCGGTTTCACGCTGTTGCGCGTGCGCGACTTTGTGATCTTGGCCCCTCCATGCTCGTGGCGGGTGCTGAACGACACAGCGGCCATGGTGGTGAGCGGGTGGGTGAGTGAGAGCGTGAGGTGAGCAAGTGAGGCAGACCCGGATTGCCTTTTGGTTTGCTTGGCTCAGTTCACGCCTCGAGGGACAAAGCCCTGCTGTCGAAGAAAAGGGACGAACCCTGAGCAGAGGCGGCTCGTCGGATGCAGCGGGCGACGAGGAGCGAGCAATGTCGAGTGAGATGTGCTCAGCTCTGCTCTGCTCTCAACTGACAAGAGGTGCGGATGGGCTGGCGGTGACCGATAGACTGGACCCGGGGGCGCCGATTGCGTCTGCTGTACCAACCCGACCTAGTGGCTGCTTGCTTGCAGAACACGACACGCTCGACTCAACAACGCACGCAGGAGAGCAACGACAAGGAGAAAAGGAGGAAATAGGCAAGTCGTGAATACTTGTACTTGCGCAGGCACACAGAGGATAGTGGTGAGAGAGATGAGAGGGAGGGAGCACGGACAGGGAGAAGGCCCTCACGGATCTGAGCGTCGTGCCAAGTAATGGCTACGCCGCATGTCAATGGGGGCGTCGTACGTACGTGTCTGCGGGCTGAGCGATGGTCAGACTCAGGAGGGAGGAGGAGGGTCCCTGTCCTTCTTGACAGCAATCAAACAAACAGATGAACAGGCAGGAGTCAGGACTCAGGACAGCCGTACCGTATCCTTGATTAATCACGGGCAGACAGCCGGTTGGTTTTGGTTTGCCATCACGTCTGGGCGCTGAGCCTGCCAAGCGACCGTCTAGACCGGATCCGGCGGATTGTACGTGGGGAAGACCAGGGTCCTTTCATCATTCATGGCGCCGTCTCCCTGTGCTCATTCCTCTGAAAACAGTGAAAAGACACGCATATACAATCATTACGTAGGGACGCAAACTTTGCCCCTCTAGTCTAGTCGGTCGATGCGAGCGGACGGGCTGCCTCGACATGGCGCACCGTTTCTCGCGCGGCGGGTGATAAGAGGGCGCCATCATCTGATGATTACGGGCCGACACCGATTAGAGTACCAGTAGTAGCCAAGCCACACCAGCCCACTTCCACTCCAGTCGCTAATGACCGCTGTAATTTCAGCAGCTCCAGCGGCTCCAGTCCCCTAATAACGGGTGAGGTCCAGTGGACCACCCGCACAGCGCAGGACTGTGTCCAGTGTCCCCTGTGCAGTGTCAGTGCGCCTACCGGGCCCGAAATACGCCAATTCAACAGTAATAATTACTGAGATGGGATCACCGGCTGGGAGATGAACGTCATCTGGTGAAACGGGGCAAGACAATGTTTGACAGTCGCCAAAGGGTCCGGGGCCATGTCCGTGGAAAAAAAGGGAAAAAGGGGTCTTGGCTGCGATTGCGAGATTGCCATGCCCAACTCATTTGCCCATCTGCTGATCAGGCGTCTGATCGTCCATGAGGCTCTCAGCCTCCAGTCTCGAGTCGCCATCTCACGAGATTACGCGTGCACCCACCACACTGCTTCCCCTGGAGGCCCCTCGGGGGTGCTGCAACCTGGGAGTCTGGACGCTGACAGGCACGGCTACCCCGCCAACCGTCACCTCATGTCGAACTCAAATGGGCCTCCAAGCCATTCATCCAGCCAGCCCAGACATCACCATGATCGTATCCCACGCTTTGCATCACACTGTCGCTTCTCCAGTCCCCAGACAATAGTGGCCGGCGCACTAACGGTTTCTCGCAGTCGATAGTCTGCCAAGGCCATTCTCTACAGCAGAACGTCGCCAACCTCTTGTGTGCCTGGGCGGCATCTCCTGTCCTTATCACGACTCGTCAGCCTGCTAGTCAAGCCTCCCGCATCTCACCGCCGTCGCGAACTTTCAACATGCGGATCGCGCAGCTGACACTTGTTGGACTTGTCGGTGAAATTCTGCATGCGCCAGCATCGGGGGCTGCATGTGCTCGAGATCCCCGACGATGTGCGGGCCACCCACCCCATCATGCCGTCCTGGATCTCGGCGCATCTGGCTTCCCCATTCCTGCTTGTCTCCCGCTCCCCTCTTTCTGGGCGATAAGCACAACAACTACTAGTCTAGCTACTCATGAACCAACCCAAAGTCAAAGCGGGCTGATTAGTATACATAGTAGCGAGCTGACCCCCATCTTGGCGCGCATCTGCCAACCAGCCAACCACCTCGCATCGTGGACGCCTTCTCGATCGCGGTGTCGCCGACATTGCCTTGCTGCCAAGGACCGATCACATTCATCTACGTATCACGGTATCTATGCTATCGCGGGCGGGGTTGAGACAGGTCCCTGGATCCGGCGTCCTGAGACATGCATGCGGGCAGGTTGACCATCTCAGGTCGCGATGCACACATTTGCATCTCGTTTCTGAGATGGCTGCCGCCTGCCGTGAGGGCTTTGTCTGTAAGCCACTAGAGTTTCGACGTGCAGCTTAGCGGTGAAAAGCTCGTAGAATTGATGCCACGGGTATATCGACATGATTACGGCGTATAAGGCAACCCATCGCTTCAAGATATCCAATCCAAGACCACACATCTCTACAGGTCCCGGTACATCCACCTCTCGGGCGCAAAGACGACCTCGATCCCCACCCCGTCGTAGACGCCCACGGCGGCACAGAGATCATGGTGCCCCTCGAGCCCATCCACCGGCAGGTCCTCCTCCGCATCCGTCTCCTCGTGAATGTTCCACCCACCGGCCAGCGACCCGTTCCTCGTAAAGAAGACGTCGACCAGCAGCCGGCCCGCCTCGGCCGGCTTGACGGTCATGCCGATGCCGTACGTCTCGCCCCGGGTGAACGGCTGCGTGAACGCCTTGCCGCCCCAGCGGTCGTTGATGTACTTGTGCCCGTCGTCGCCGTGCACGGCCAGCGAGCCCCGGTGCCAGCCCGGCATGCGGAACGACGGGTAGGGCAGCGCCGTGAAGCCCAGGCCGACATAGGTCGTGGGCGAATCCGCGAGGATGCGGACCTCGTAGTAGATTGTCCTCGGGGCGCCCGTCCGCAGGGGGCCGTGCTCGTGGACGGAGTAGAGGGGCGGGTAGCTGATGAGACATCGGTCCGGGCTGTTCTTGCGCGTCGTCGCCTTCCACACGCCGGGGCCCTTCCACTCTAGGGTGCCGTTGAAGCCCGCGGGCTCCATGAGACGGATGTTGTGGAAGTGCAGGGCGCCCTTGCTCGCGTCGTCGAGCATCATGGGGGCGGTCATGGGGTTGTCCTCGCACCAGACTTCGCCGGCTATGGCCTCCTCCTCGCTGGCGTTGGAGGACGGCGAGCGCTCAAAGCCGGAGAAGATGGCCGGCGGCGGCGGGAAGAGTGATGTGTCGGGGACCGCGGCGGCCCAGTCATGCTGAGGGTTTGCGTCACCGTAGGATGGAGGCAGGTCTGTGGGCGGTGGTGGTGGTGGTTGAGAAGACGTGGCTACACCTGAGGGGGGGTCTTGATACGGTTGTGATTTCGAGGGAGGCGGTCCTGGGGGTGGTGCGTAGCTGTTCTGCTGCTGCTGCTGCGGGGGATACGATATCGATGATGACGGTCCAGCAGTCGTTGGTGATGGCGGATCCTGGTAGGGAGCCATGGGAGGCTGCTTTTTCGACGAGGCGCCCTTGTCAATCGATGATGGACGAGGGAGCGGGCGAGGGGCAGGCTGCTGCTCCTCGTGGACCTCGTCTTTACTCCCAAAGCACATGCTGTCGATGGCCGAGCTATCAAGGTGCAGTGAATGACGGCGTTGAGGCTGATGACGGCGATGGGGCGAGACTCGAGGAGACTCGAGGGGATGGAGAGCTTTCTCTAAGAGCTGGGGTGCAGGATTGCCTCTGGAGATCTTGTAGTACAAAAGAGTGATAGCCAAACGGGGTTGTCAATAAGAGCATTCAACAAGGTCGCAAGGTTGACTGAGTGAAGTGGTGATGATGAGTATGTGATGACTGGCAAAGGTGGCTGTGCGCATTTGGCGCCAAGCCTCACATGATCTACGACTACAGTCTAATTATTACTGCTGCCAAGCTCAAACTCTTCCCTCCAGGAACCGACCACTCAAAGCTAACTATAGGCACGTACAAACACATCAAAATGAGTCAGTATCCTCGCCAAACCCCCAGTGGCTCACCTCGCTCCCTTCCGGGTAGAAGAATGCCACAATCCCAATGACCAGATACACCGCGCACAGCAAGACGCCCTCCATGAAATTACTCTTGCCATCCAGCACCAGGAAGTTGACAATGAAAGCCGAGACAAACAGGCACACCGTCTCGAAAAGCGTAAAGTATAGACCCATGGGCTTGTCGAGGATCCAGCCGAGCAGGACGACCAGCGGCGTGATGAGAAGCGCAATCTGGATCGAGGACCCAATCGCCACCCCAATCGCCAGGTCCATCTTGTTCCGCATGGCGACGCTGATGGCCGTAATGTGCTCCGCCGCGTTGCCCACAATCGGCAGCACGATGAGGCCGATGAACGTGTCGCTGAGCGGGGACGACGCCGTGACCGCCTCGATGGACGAGATGAGAAACTCGGCGCACGTCGCCACAAGCGCGGCCGCGATGAGGAGCACAATGAGGGCGCCAATCCGCGACATCTCGAACCCCTCTGGTCTCTTCTCGTCGTCCGCCATGGGTTCGGCAACTCCAACGCCGCCAGTCAATGTGTCTACCGAAAGACGCGATGGGCAGTGGTTGTTGTCGGATCGTCCTGGCACGTCCGCATTTTGGGCCATCTGCGAGTGGCGGCGCGTGTCACTTGGACCGGCCTCGTCGAATAGCACCGGTGCAAAGTTCTTAAACCTGACAAACGGGCTCTTCGGGGTCCACGATGCGATCTCGCTGCTGGGCAGCCGGAGTTCCAGCTGAGGAGGGCCACTGGCTGTTCTCTGGTGTCCCTGCCGTGCGTCACCTCCTCTTTGCACGGTGTCTTCGCCCTCTGCATTACGGCGTCTCCATCTCCTGCGACGGCCTCTTAGGCTCTTTGATCTCTTCTTCTCTATTTTCAGCTCCGTGGCCTCGTTGCCGCCGTCAACCTCGCCGTCTCGTGTCCTTGGCAAAGCATCGTCGACGTCGACGATAGTCTGCGACGACCTTCGGGAGCCGAGCGCGGGGCCTAACGTAGGCGATGTGTTGCGTCTCTTACTCTTACTAAAGGCTCGTCGCATTCTGTGGCGCATGTTGACGCGTGTATCGTCCGAATCGAGGCCCGAGTCTTCGTCGTCGTCGTCATCGTCCTCGTCGTCGTTCACGAGCCAGCCGGCCACAGGCCCAGGTGCAGCCTCTGCGTCGACAATGTGCCTTGGCATGGATTCGTAGAGATAGGCGTGTGACTTGAGCTGAAAGACGAGGAAAATAATGTAGACGACCAACAACACGGTGCTGGTGCCCCGACTAATCTTGAGTGACTGCTCATCCGCGCGATGGTAATCCTCGAAGGAGGCGTGAAATGCGGTCTGCTGCGTCAGTCCTAGTCCTGGCCCATTAGAACACTCCCATAAAACATACCGGAAGGACTAGACTGACGACGCTCAGACTCAGCAGGCAGGCACTCATCTGCGTGACCGTGTTGTTGTAAAGCTGCTCTCGATAGCGCATGCCGCCGAGGAAAAAAGCCAGACCCAGGATGAGCAGCAAGTTGGCCAGCAGGGAACCTAGAAGCGAAGCCTGAACGATCCGAATTTCGTTCTATTCTCAAGTCAGCTAAGCAAGTTCTCCGTCACTGCCCACAGGGGATCCGAACCTTTGTCAATGCGATACTGCATGCCCCATCACGGTTAGTAAATCGACCTCACTTTACTTGGGGATGATCACGAGCACTTGCACACTGTTCATGGTCAGCACCAACAACAACCGCTGGAAGGCAAAGAAACACTCACAAGATAATCAGTTCCACGGCATTTCCAAGGGTGACGTTGATCAATGCCCCTAAGGCGTCGCCCATTTCACCAGCAAAGCTCTCCGTCGCATGTGCCAACAACGCTGCCAACGGGATGACAGCAACGCAGTTGAGACCAAACACCACGCCGCCAGGGACACTCGGAAACTGGGCCACGATGATGCCCGCAGGAACGAAAACGTAGAGAATGTTGATCAGTGGGTTGTAGGTCAACACATGGTGGACTGTCAGGTAGATGGTCCTCAGGCAGCCCGGTCTCTCAGCCGTCTCAACAGAGCCGGGCCCGTCGTGGGGATTTACCGTGCCCATGGCGCCATTGTCGTGCCGCTGCCCCTGACCGACAGAAGCATGAGCCGTCGCGCTCTCAGCCATGGTGACCTGGCAGAAGACTCCCTTGGACCTGGAGATGCTCGTGATTGAATGGCATACAAATGGCAAGGAGAGAGTGTGATGGATGACTTGGCGTTGCGTAACAGAAATAAAGAGCAAACAAGTCCCCAATGTCAAAATACCACCAGGAGGGAGTCAACGCGGACAAGGCTGTCAGATGTATCATCCGGCTCGTGGGGTAGGGGGGGCCCAAGGCCAGTCCAAGGGAGCACAGGTCGTTGCTCGAGAGGCCGCGCGGCGCAAAACAATGTGCTCCCTTATCTTGTTTGACTTTGGTCGGCCATACTAGGTCAAGGTAGAGGACGTCCAAGGCTGTGCTCGCTCGAAATGTTTCACTCCTAGGGTGCTTATCTTCTGTTCCGGCTAGTAGTAATAAGACAACAGCAGCAACAACAGCCGGGGTCTCGGCACTCCCAGTCCAGTGGATGGAACTTGGAACAAAGGACGAGCGAGTCTCACATGACGACATCCTTGTTGGGGCCTTGTCATACTGGTCAAGCGCGAGGTGGCAGGTCTGGCTCGACGTTTCAACGCCCGCAGGCCAGACCTGTGATTCACATGAGCCTTGCCAAGGGATGACATGACAGGACGGCGGCCGTACGTATGAAGATCCGTCGGCTCGTCCCGTCATTTAGCGTCACGGTATCATACCAGATCAAGCCGATTATCCGCTTTGTATACCGATTTCCCGCCTGATAGCGCGGCAACGCTTTCCACCCCCACGGTATGCTTGCTGTCGCCAATGGATCTGTCTCGGCAACGTCACCGAGGAGGGCACAAAGCAGCACTGATGGATGGATGTGTCCATATCGTCCACGGGGTTCAATTTATAGAAAGAACAAGTAATAAGTGGAGAAGCCTTGGGCTGTATCGGTGCCCAGTCCTCATTCTCTGTCCGAACACTTTGTACGCACATACAATACTGTCTCGCTCCGCTCACGGGCCCCCTTTCTTTCCACCCCTCTGCAAATCCCAGAACAAGAGGCCTCTCGAAGAACAAGAACAAATGAAAAAAAGACACAAAAAAAAGAAAAGTTGATAAATCAAGAAAACATATGTATAAGGTTCTTACGCGCGCGCCATGAGGTATCCGTAGAAAAGCATCGGCCGTGATTACCGGGGATAGGGGTTGGTGCTGGTGATGGTGATGGTGCTGGCGGATTTTTTTCTTCTTTTGCGGCGGTTTTCTTCCTGGTGATCCGAGTGTCGACTTCAAAGCGCACCGTACTACGCCACCTCATTACTCAACGGAAGACCTCGGTCAACGCCATGAACGCCTGGGGACCGGCCTGCCGGCTCGTTACCGCTCCTCGCCGCCGCGGGCCTTTCCCCTCCTCCTAAAAAGGTCCATAACCCGCTTCGCGGCGCCACTGCTGCCGCCGTGTCCTTGCTCGTAGCCGTCGGTGAACTTCTTGTGCTGCCTAGGCAGGGAGTTCTGGTTGCTACTGGGCGTCTCGGTTCTCCGCGAGTCAGGCGAAGCATATTCCGGTCGGTAGCTCTGCGGCTGCTGTCCGTACTGCTGCGAGCTCATCTGGGGCTCTGTGGGCGGTCTGCGCATCTGGCCAGAGGACCCAGGTCGTGCGGCGTATTGATTGCCACTCTGCATGTAAGACGGCACGGCCGTCGGTCGTTGCCCCTCTAGCTGTGCCGACGCATATCTCTGGTGTCGAGCCTGGTTCGAAATGGGCGGGTGAGGTCGCACATTGCTGCTGTTGTGGGCTGGATCAAGCGTCGGACTGCCGTCGCGGGCGTCGCCGTGGGCAGCAAAGGTTCGTGGTGGATCGGCACGCGGGTTCTGAAGCGACAGGCTGTTCTGAGATCCGTACTCGGAAGGCGGCGTCCCAGGATCCTTGCTACCCGACTTGAACGAGAACGAGGGAGGAATCAGCGAGAAGCGGCGGCGGTCAGCCTTGTCGGAGGAGCCTTGTGAGCCCTCGACACTACCGCTCCGCTTCTTGCCCAGGCCGAACGAGAATGATCGCCTCGACGCCCGCGACTCCATGGATGGTCGAACCGGCGGCTCATTGTCTGCTGGTAGAGGCTGCTGCATGCTGACGGGCGGGTACTTCCTCGATTTCTCAGGCTGCTGCTCCGAACGCTTCTTGCCACGTCCTCCAAATACAGATCCGTTCCGACCGAGGAGCTTGGAGCCGATTTCTCCCAGTGTGCTCGAACGCTTATGTCCACGACCGCCAGGAGGCTGACCCTCGCCCATGCCAGACATCTTGGCAAACTTGGGGGGCACGCTGGTGTTGGGTCGGCTTTGAGGCTCGCCTTCTTCGCCTTGGGTGGGTTGCGCCATCCTGCCCTCAGCATTCGTATCAGCAACTGCCGGCGGCACAGGCTGTCCATAATGCCCCATGGACTGCAGACCCATGGAGGCTGCAGACGACATTGAATTGCCAGTCTGCGGGCGGGCCCCCGAGCTGGTAGTAGGTACGTAGACATTGTCGGTATTGGGGCGCATGGGTCCTTCGCGAGGTCCTCGCGGTGCAACCGCTCTGTGGGAACTCTGAGGGCGCCTGGAGCTTGAGGGGCGAGAGGATAGAGGAACAGCGGCATCACGAACCACCGGCGGATCGCGGGGCAGTGGCTTGTCTTGCGCAATGGCCTGGTACGGCTCCTGTCTGCCCCTCGATGTCGACCTTGGCTGTGGGCGCGAGCTGTCCTCCTCGCCACCTCGCTGGGTGCGCGTGGTGGGTGCGACATATTCGACCTGAACGGTGCGGCGCTTCGACTCCTTGGGAGTCCTGGGCGCCACATCAGCGTCATGATCAATCTTGCCATATGCCTTGGAAAGGCCGCCAACGGTCGTGGGTGAGTGCGCCTTCTGCTTGTGGGCTTCACGCACAGAGTTGCTGCGCGTCAAACCGGCCTCAGGCTCTTCAGGGGCAGTGATGGACTTTTGGACATCATCCGGAAGAGTCGTCGAGCTTGTGATGAATTCCACCACGTGGGCATAGTCGCTTAGCCAGCTGTGCCTGGCAACCTCGAACAAATCTGCTCGTTTGCGGGGCTGAGGCACGAGAATTCTTCTCAAGAGGTCTCGTGCATGTGGCGTGACATATTCGGGGAAGGTGAGTGGCGTATTCACAATGTACTTGTACAGAAGGTTGATGTTGTCGCCCTCGGGGTTGGCCGGGTCGTCGTCGAACGGCAGGTATCCTGCGAGCATGGCGTACAAAATGACGCCGCAACTCCAGACATCGACCTTGCGTCCCGTATAGAGGCAATCGCTCACCACAAGTTCCGGGGCTGCGTAACAGGGACTGCCGCAGCTCGTTTGCATCAAATCGCCCTTGCGCATCCCATTGGGCTTGATCTTGTCGAGCCCAGACTTCTTGACGAACTCGCGGTCCGCCAAGTTGAGCTCTTCCTCGTTCGACAGCTCCTCGTGCGGATCAAACGTGTTGGCAAAGCCGAAATCGGTGATGATAATGTTGCGGTTCCGATCCAACAGCAAGTTCTCCAGCTTCAAATCGCGATGCACGATGCCCTTCTTGTGTAGGTAGCCAACTCCAGAAACCAACTGCGCGAACAATCGGCGGGCCGACTGGTCTTTCAGATACCGGTGGTTCAGGATGTAGTCGAAAAGCTCGCCGCCCGATGCGTATTCCAAGATGATGCCAATGTACCTGTCTGCCTCCACCATATCTATTAATTGCACAATGTTGGGGTGCTGCAAATCGCGAAGAATCGTGACTTCACGTCGGATCTTGGCAAGGCGGTTCGGGTTGCTTCCCACCACGTCTCGCTTGATGAGCTTGATGGCAACCTGTGAAGATGAGAATATGACACTTTGTGGCCTCAAGAATGACTTACCTGCGCGTTGCTGTCCTGCTTCCAGCCGAGCTTGACCTTGCCGAATTCACCCTCACCGATGGTGTTGCCGAGAATGAAATCGCCGAATTTGGCCGTGCCTTTATGTGATCGGTTGCTGTAATCGTGTCGGCTCCGGGCCCTGCGCTCATCGTTCTGAGGGCTCATGCCCACAACAGGGGGCGGCGCCGCGTCGTCTAGAGCGGGACGCATGCTAGGGTCCTCAGCATTGTTGGCCGCTCGCACAATGTTTTCTTCCCTGTCGACGGGAGGCTTCGAGGAGCCTTGTGCTGTCCGGACTGGCAGCACTGTGCCGGACCCGCGGTTGTCCCTGTTCTCATTCTGTCGCCCCGTCAAGTCCTGTGCAAAGTGTGTGTTTGCTGCCCGCTTGCTGCGGTGCCCAGAGTCTGTGGCGCCGTTTGCGTCGTTTCGTGATGACCCAGCGCGCGAGCTTTCGGGCTGGCTTGGCCTAGAGGACGCAGGCTGCGCCGTCCTTTCGTGGCGGCGGGAGCTGGTGCCTTGTTGGTTCGAGGAGGTGCGCGGTGGCGCGACAGGAGGCATATTGGCGATGCGCTCGGTCTGTGACGAGTGCTGATGTGGCTGATACTGCAGGCTGGTTCGCCCTGTCACCTCGGGGACGGGATTAGGGCTGTTACCGCTCGCCTTGCGGGAAGGAGGCCGTCTCGAGGATGGAGACGCGACGCCGGAAGTCGACTGATGGGCATTATTCGGTTCGACGATCGGGGAAGAGTGCGAGGACGCGTACTGTCGGTTCGGTGGCGCGGCCAGTGGGGGAGTCGACAAGTTCGCTGGTTGATGTGTCGCTGTTTGCAAAGCAGCCGACGACATCTTCTGATTAGGCTGTCGTATTGGCCCTGGCAATATAACGAATGCCGTTGACGCGAGACGCTAGGATGGGCTCCAGAAACAAAAGGGCGGGCTGGCAAGAAGCAGGAAAAAGCAAGACAGTCGGATGTATGTGCATCCAGATGCAGCCCTTCAGACCTCCAGCAATTAAAGGCTTGTGGTAGGCGAGTTTATGCAAGGCGAGGATCTGACGCCTGCAGCAGCTGCATCAAACCCAATCTCGCTCGCACCGGCTGTTTCAGGGGCTTTGATCGCCTCGCACAATATTCGAGATACGGGAGGCTTGATCCTGCTATTTCCTCGTCTCGAGACGGAGGCACAAAGTGAGCGAGCTGGTATGCGAATGTCATTAATCAGAGCCGGAGTTTGCTCATTGTGTGCCTTGACACGCCAGTTGGGATTAAGATTTCGCTGGGCCTGAAGAGGCGGTCGGCGGTCACCACTGGGCAGCGCAGCGGTGCAATGCCGTTCTCTGTCTTTGAGCGCCCCTGAGTGGACGGGGACTAGACTAGTCGGTCGGTGAGAGGAAAACTCTTGGGCTGAGTTGACTGGACGTGCAATGGGCCAGGGAGCTGGTCGCAGCGCGCGCGCGGTGAGGTGGCTGGCGCGCGTTTGGTTGATCGGGGCCCGGCTGCAGGGCAGGGAAGAAGAAGGGATGGATCGCTCGCGACCTTCTGTTTCGGCTTCGGCTGCTGCTCCCGCCAGTCGACACAAGCTGACTATTGGACTTGTAGACACAACCCGACCAGAGGGAAGATGGAGGGAAGAAGAGACAATGGCCAGCGTGGGGAGGTGAGGCAGGATGAGAGCGAGGGAAGCATGGGTGAGGAGGATTCCATTGGACCCATTGCCCGAGTGGTATGGGAGATTGCGATTTCAGCAACAGCAGGAACAGGAAGGCACGTCCCAGTGGAGGCTGCCGCCCAAAAATTGACGCCGGGACGTGTTTTGGCGCTAATTAGCATCAGCTCAGGTACCTGCCGCACGTACCTGTCAAGTGCAGTTGCGCCTGTTTCAGAGCACATGTACCCCACTCCGCCCCAGAGCGAGGTACCTGCCTACGGGCCACCGTGCCGCGCTAGGCAAGCAACTAAACAAGTTAAATATCCGTATCCGTAGGCCCAAGTTGTCCGTTTCGCCGACGACAACACGACATTCGGTAGGTGAAAACAATTATCATCTAATCTCGTTGCATTGACTGACGACATTCGCTCACAACGGCGGCTGTTCATTAATGTATTATGCGGGAGCTGATGACTGTGAAAATGCGACGCTTTGCACCAGCATGAAGTGGTCTAATCTCACTGCCTCGGACGGGCGCCACTCTGAGCTTGCCAAAACCTGCCAACTTGCTGACGACCTCTGTACTGAACCGCTCTCCAGAAAGCAAAGGGCATCTGCTACGTACATTCAGATTCGCCCTCGCGGCGTCGCCGCTTGTTTGTCGCTCGATCGGGACAAGGCTGGCGGGTCCGATACTAGTTGTTTCTCAAGTGTCAAGACTGGACTCAAGCAGGCTTCGGGGCACATAGGGCTGGTGTTGTGCCAGGGATATCTGGCCTGTTGGCTGTGATACCACTACCGCGTCCCGGCGCCATCTTCCTGGGAATGTTTGTCCAGACAGTTGGTAAAAGATCCATGGGAGCATCGCTGGCCCTTGGCTTTTGCCCCATGTAATTCGCGATAATTACCTCTTTAGACGGTAATTACGTGCATGGTTTGCTCGCGAGTGTTCGGCAACGCGGAGATCACAATACGTAGTGGCCTGGCTCGGCAAGGAGCGCCCGGGTCCGGATCGTCTCATGTTGGATCTCTAAGGTTCACTGCTGGCACAAGCTTTTATGCCTACCCTAGTCTAAGAGGTTAGACTCTTCTGTTTCTCTAAGTCGTCTTCCAAATGCTGGCTCCATCGACTGGGTTGTTATATTTTTTCGGCGCAGGATGTATTGAGCTCTACACCCGCCGCATGACACATTTCACGCGTATTCTACGCGTTTCTTACCGTCGACGCCTCGGCTGGGTGGGTATTATTCAATAATAGTAGCTGCCCATTAACCCCAACTATTCACCCCATCGCAACGTCACGGTCCGTCATGAATAAATGATCAATAACTCCTCCTGTCACTGTTCCACATGGCACTTTCTCAGCATGTACGGATACACATGGGTAGTACTACTACTTGGCATCCATGTCGCCTTTGCATCAGTGGCGCCTGTGTCACCTCACTGAGACACATGAGACGGCACACTATCGCAAGATGTGTCCAAGGCACAAGCCTCGAGGCTGCACCGCGAGGCTGAGATCTGGGGATTTACGGGGCAACTGTATATCCAGGACGGTCTCTCCTTCAAGTACTTGGGATCAGAAAGTAGTACGCTATAGAAAAGTAGTAGCCATGCATCTGGCAGCTCGGAAATGACGCCGTCACGATCCCATCTTCATATGACACGTGAAAGGGCAGATAGAGTCGTGTCCCGCGTGCGACACGGGTCATTTCCACTCAGCATGAGCCATTGACACCAATTTGCAGAGTCACATGCCGCAAGGCCGAAGTGTTGAGTTTTCTGGGGTTTTGATCTCAAACAGTCAATAGTGAATATACACCGGGCTTCCCACCTGGTTCGGCAAGGTCTACCTCGTACTCAGGTGTTGTCAAGGCAGCAGCTTCAGACAAACTATTAGATAATCGAGACTAACTGCCGGCCAACCTGCAGTATCCAGCTGCAGGCACCATCGAGATGAGATAAAATGCGCGGAGTCCAAGATGCGTGGTGCTACTGATGCAAGGGGGGCATCGTGGAAGCCACCGCAACGGAACAACGTGCAGCTCACAACACGTGCACTGCAAGGTCGTGAGACAAAGAGACCGAGCGGCCTGGGACGCGCTCGAACCTCGGCCGCACAGGCTGTTGTGTGCGGTAGCCACCATTTCTCATTGCACGCAGTCTCGTCGTGTTCATGCAAGGACACTTTGAACGAGCCACGAGGCACGTGAATTTTGGGACCTCTCAAAGGTACGAGGTCAGAGTTTGATGGAGATCTCGTACGTATCGAGAGCAACAGCGACCACGGTCAGGACGAATGAGTACGCCACGAGGATAGCCATGGAGGTGAAGCGGGTTGCCTCCAACGTATTAAATGTCATGTTGACCAACCCAGTGCCGAGATTTGCGAGAAGAAAGAGCGCCAAACCGTTGCGGTTGTATGCGCGTAGCACACGGCTCGTGGCTGTGAGATAAGCTTCGCGCTCAGTCTTTGGGTCCGAAGCATTGTAGAATGCTGGGAAGAAGATGGTGTCGACGATGCAGAAGCCCAACACGGATGCTGAGTTGAAGGCAGCAACCCATAGCACGTACGGCAGGTTGACCAGTCTTCTCGAGACCACGAGACCGAACCCGTAGGAGTAGCTTGTAGAAAGAGCATATAGACCACACCAAATGCTCGCCCAGACTCCCATAGTCAGTAGCAAGGTGTTCCGCTCTGCGCCGGGCGCAGCGTTGCTGCGAGGGTTGAGTTTTCGTGGGATCACAAACATTCCCAGGTCCTGACCGGCGAGGAAGATCGCCAGGTATCCCAGGAACCCAAAGATGCCCTCGCGGTTCTGGGAAATGAGATCGACTCTCGGTGCTGTCAGGATGTACGCCTTTAGACCCGTTGTCTCCAACGCCATCTCATACATACCCACAGTGACGAGCGCCAGCGCAGCATAAGAGGGCACATATGCCAACGCAGCCTGCGCGGCGGCGACAAAAGGCGGCAGCAGTCCGAGCGTAAAGAAGAAGTTCCAATGGACGCCGTACTCGGTCACATGCTCAGCGTAGTCCAATCCTTTGACACTGAGGAGCCTGATGACGCCCAGCACGAGCAGAGGCAGAGAGTGACGCAGAGACCCAACAATACGACGCATGACAGGCACCGATCGACCAGCAGCTCGCTCTTTGAGAACGGGTCGCGCAGCCACGAGACCAGCCGTGAAGACAAAGGCGCCGACGCCCATGTCCATCAAGGAGGTGCCCCATGTCTCTACCTTGGCAAATCGACGTGGGAAAATCCGAAAGTCCACGGCGAGGATGGCGATGCACGTAATGACGAGCATCGACGCTCGGTAGGTTGTGAGAAACGGCTTCAGCGGTAAGGGGTCCAGCTGTTTGGCGGTTTTGGAGTCGGCACGAGGAGGGACTCGCGGCTTTCGCCTAGACGACGTGCGATTGGGCGGAAGCACATACACCACAGCGGCCGGTGCCGCGAGCAAGAGGCATAGCAGCAAGGGCGAGTTTGAGTAGAGTGTGACAGACAACAGGATGGCCGCCACGTTCAGGGAGTAGTCCACAACGAAGGCCAAGCCACCGTAGGACTGGAAGAAGGACTGTCTGGATTGCAGTATTGACCACAAGACGATTGCGACCTGGGAAGTGGCTTAGTGCTCGTTCTTTTTGGCTAGTATCGGCGCGGGTGCGAACCGTTGCTACAGAGGTCACGGCGTTGATCTCACTGACGGAACCGCCAGTCAAGCCCGAGACGAACTCCTCCTTTTGCTGCTTCAGCGTGGCAGCAATATTAGACATTATGTCGGCAGACCGGGTGATGTTTTGTACAGAAGGTGAGTTGTGACTAGACCATGTCGTGCGCGCGACAAGAGTACGAGGAGTGACAGATCTGCTAGCCGTGATGGTGGCCAAAAGCCAGCTGTCAAGATGTTGGATCCCGTGGTAATGGCGGCGGTTGACGACAGGCCAGGCTGCTGAAGAAGGCGCCAACAGGGGCGGCATCACACTGGCAGGCAATGCCGTGCCAGCTCCATGTAAAGTGGGGCTCAGAGGGCTCTCGACCAACCGCGAGGCGGCTTTTCACTAAGCGCAAAGTCACGTGGGGACGCGCGCAACGTCAATCATTGTGTGCGTTTCACAGCTTCCAGTCGTTGCCGCGCTTTACTTCTTGACAAACCGTCTACCCATGTGATCCATCACTTCATCCGGCACCGTATTAGAATGCGCCATCCAACATATGACCTGATTCACGCTAGCCTTTGCGTTTGTTGACTCCAATTGCAAGTGCACAGCTCCCTCAAGACACAGACACGTCATGTGAGAGCTCAGACCAGACGTTTTCTCAGCATGTCGATTTCAAGAACAACGGACAGATTTTGATGATATGTTCCTCCGCAGTCATATCAACGGCTGCGACAGCCCGTCTCTTTGTCTCCCGGGGAGCTGAAAGGATATCCCGGCCGTTCTTCACCTGTTTGCTAGGGTAAATAGTGGCCAAGCTCAAACGCCAACCTGCAATCTAGTTGGCCAGTGGCTCATTGATTGCTTTTTGCCTCATGTGCTCTGCTCGGGCTTGCAGCCTTTCCCCTTTACATGTCGTTTTCTCAAGGAGGCTGTGAGTGCAGTCGGGAAGGTCGCGCCTCACATTCAAAATGGACGTTCTTTGTTGTAGACCTGTAGACCGGCCACATAAGAAACTGCCTGTCCCTCGTTATTCAAGGAGCCAAGGACATGCAGATCCAGCCTTTGCACTTATCTACAGTCTTTTTGTTCGCATAATATTGCCTACTAATTAAGCCAAGCTCTTGATTCGACAACATACCCGACTCTCAAGATGGCAATCAGCATCAATGACTGGAGGGAGTGTTCTTCGAGACCCTTGCGGGTGGACACTACGCGACTCTGGGTTGACGCTCAAGCCTCGAACCTCCCAAGCCTGCCAGCATCGTTGTCTTCCACACATCCGTCATCGCCATACCACTCTCTGCCTGTCCAACAGCCTTCCAATGAACAGAGGACAATGGATATTGACCGCGAAGTCTTGGCAAACCTCGGCTCATTTGGCAGGCAGCAATCCATAGAAAGGAGTACTACTCCGACCTTTCTCTCCGAGGGATGGTCGCCATTCCGCAACTCGCTGGGAGCTATACACGAAGGCCGCCGGCACACTGTTGCCTCCCCAGAGTTGCCATTTGGGAAAAACCTGCCGTATCGACATCCGCAAGGACCGCGAAGGCGTTCTGCACCAAACATCAGGTGTTCACCAGCCCCTCGGACTCCATCGGATGTACATAGCTTCTGCGTTGTCCCGAAGCTGCTCTCCAGGCCCGCCAACCCAGGCCAGCTATCTTGCGGGACGGAAATCTGGTGGCCCTTTCTACAGAACGGCTATATGAAGATCCATGTGGCCATCACGGCTCGCTCGGGTCTCACTGAGCGACTGACACGCTGTGTGCCGCCCCAGTTGTTCGAGATGCACATCGCTCCAATGGGCTCTCCTGAGCGCGAAAGGAAAACATCCTTCCCAGCTCCAGGCACGGTGCTACCAGTGCCAGGAACCACTCCTACCACCCCCTACTCCGCCGTCTTTCTAAACCGCCGCTTCTCTGTGGCACCCGCGAGCAGTCCTCTGAGCCCACGTTCACCCACCTCGAGCCGTCGAGGGTCGCAAGTCCGCTCCGAACTTGCTCGAGAGTTCATCAGTAAGTCCCCGCAAAGAAGAGTATAGAGGATGCTGGGGCTAACGAACGAACAGCTAGGGATCGCGCGTTGCAGCAGCTCCCGATATTGGGCTCGATTCTGGTCCAAACGAAGCGGCCCATTCAGTACGACGAGACGATTCTTCTACCGGTACCTTACCCTAGCGCCTGGACGGAGACCATCCGCTACATTGAGACACACAACGCTGAGCACTTGTCTGAGTCTGTAAAGGTGAACATTCTCAATCTTGGCGGAAAGTTGCCCTGCGTGTGAGTTTGGGAGGGCCTAAAAGAAAACGTTGTTGGTCCGATGTACTTGGCTGCTTTCCTTCTTTAATCCTTGTTCTTGCACCCCCGAGTCCTGCTTTACTCGACGAGCGTTGCACTTTGGTACCTATTGGTGATAATAGTCTTTAAGCCAGCGTTGTCACTTCCTTAATGGAGAAACCATCTTCCCTTGACTCTATACATGATTTCCACGTCTTTCGGGTCTTGGTCAAACTGCGCAGCTGTCAGCGTCAGAGACAACACGGATGGTAGACACAGGACGACGATGGCCTGATTTGGCTGCAAGTCGATCTTCCTACCGCTCACAGCTATGTGACGATATGATGTCTCTATCCTCGAAAGAAGGGGGGGGGCAAAACCTTGCGCACCGGGTGTGCCCAATGTGCGCTTCCGGGCAGGATCGTGTTACATCGCTCTCATATGCACTCCTACCACAGTCTGCGTGCGGGAAGCTTCACGAGTAGAGACTAGAGACCATCCTTGATGCTCAGTACTTTGTCTTGTACTCGCGCACACGGACATAACTCGACGATCGACTTGTTGTGTGATCTTCGAGATTTGATCCCCGCCACGGGGCCTCCACGTAATGATCGTCCGGCTCTCACTCCTACTACTACAGTTTGCAGTGCGCACCGCGAGGCGACGAGAATAGTGGACGCAACAAGGCAATATGTACATACATACGGATACGTAACTCAGGAGTCAGTACATCGGGAAACGATGAGGGGAGAAGGAGAAATATGGACACAAAGGCGAGCTGCACGTCATCTACAAGGGTGGCCAACAGCCTGGGCAATCCTCCGCTTGTCGCGCTACATGATGTGGCCTTCCAGGCCCTTCCTCGAGTATTCGTGGGATGACCAGAAGCTATGCGTATTGCGCCCGACCCCAGATGAAGGATTGGGGCAATGCGAGCTCACTGATAATGAGGAGCCGCTCGACAATATGCCGAATGTCGCCTGCCGGATTGTGTTTGGTGGTTGCGTGATCACGAACTGGCATTCATTGATCCGTGGCATCACAATATGCATTGCTCTAGGATGCCACTGAGCGATCCCAGCGTCTGTTTGTCTACCTGGTTCGTCTGGTGCAGCAGGCATACCAGGCATATGGCAGACAGATCCCTTGGGCGGTTTGTGTCTGTTCATGCTGTTGGCTGCACGACACGACAAGCCGCATACTCTCCTGGGCCACCGGGGATCCAAACGAAGCACCGACTCACGGAATGGCAAATGCCGAAAGGAAGTTCCTCGTCAATACTAACCATTGTTATGCACAGACCAAAACTGTTTCGAAACGAGGACCGTTTGCTGTATCCATTTCCCGCGCTCTCCACGGCGGCAAACCCCGAGGACCACCAAGCTTCGGCTCTCTCTCGTCGTACTGTATACACCACGCCTTCCCCCCCTCCACGTCCAGTCCATTGGCGCCGTTCGCGTCGGTCATCAGTTGCTACAAGTCCAGTGACCAGTTCTTCATGTGGCTACCCCCGACCCGACCTCCGCGAGACACGAGACGATGGGGGTGGACTGCGCGACACACGGAGGAGAAGCCGCGTGCGGCGCAAAGACGACATGCGCACCTCGTTTTTTTCCTCCTGCAAGGCCCGCGCGCGCAGATAAGCCGCTGATGAAGAAGAAGAGGGGAGAATGGGGCGTGCGCAATTGATATTTCCGTGCAGGTCGAACAGGAGGGGGAGGGGAAGTCTCCACACACTGCGCAAGGACCTGCGTCTGCCCAGGTGCAGGCATCAGAGGATGAGGTTTAGTCCCAGACATGGGGGACTCCAGTCGTTGTTCGACTTTGCCGATGATGGCATCGTCAGTCAGCCAGTCGTTGACGCCTTGATCAGTCGATGCCCACACGCTGGCTCTGGCTGTTCTGATCCCGCAGCAGCGCGAACCTTTCAGGGGCTGAGTCTTGACAGCATCTACATCAATGATTGTCTCTACTACGCCTGGCTGGTGTCCGTAATCGCCATCGCGCCAAGAAGGCTACGGCGAATTCTCCCACGGGAAGAGCAATGTCCATTAGCCGTCCATCCATTGATACTGGGATCCGCAGTGATCTATCTACAATCTGTAGACTGTACCGTATTCTGTAGAAGACGCGAACATGGGCTTGAGAGGGTGTATCCACAGTTGGTGGTGTGGAGTGCAGACGCAAGTGTGAGAGAGAGGAAGAGAGGCTGGTCTTCGAACAAGCCGAGATCGTTCTGTGTCTTTCTTGTGACCGTCATGTGAACTGCTACTCGCCCTCCTTTGAGGATGGTTGTGTGTCAACTTGGAAGAACAGCAAGACTGGTCCCTACCGTGCTGCCTTCTGGGCACGAGACACGCCCAATCTGGGCTGGATCACTCCTCAAGTCGATCCAGCTCGGCTCGCGCCAGGCTGAGCGCACCACTGTCGATTCGACGGGGTCGCATTCAGCGGCGTCCACTCCACTACCGACGCCAACGCGAATGCACCTCATCATCGCAGACGGTGGGCCGCAAGGACTGCCTAGCTCGCACTCTAGGCAGGCCCCTCGTTAAGAGCCTGTTGGCGGCTCGTTCCCCTCTGTTGCACCTTGGGGCCTTTTCGTTTGTTTACACCCCTGCTTTGTGAGCTTCAACATGGTACAACGTTCGATGGCTTTGACTTTACCTCTGCTGTGACTGATCAGCATCCTTTCCTCTCTTCTCTCGTCGCGGCGCGTGGGTGTAGAGCATAGTAAGCCTTAATCAGTATTACGTAGGTCCTGAGGCTGACGGCGCAGCTGCATCTACTATTAGTAGTATGTATGCGCCGTGGATCGTGTGGTGGGTGGGCGGCTGAGACATTGTGCATGTGTGCCCTCCCCAAGTTTTAGTCGACACTGCGGTGCCCTCCGTCTAGTTTACTACACAATACTGCCTGTATCGATCGTTCGCATGAACTGACATTCGCGTGCTTCAAGTTGCCATGCAAGACGGAGAGCTGCGGCCCCAGTGGCGGAAGACCGACGTGATGCAGGAGGATTCAAACATGTCCCACCATAATCGGCAGCTTGACGACATGCTGATCGACCCTGAGGTTCCGGGTCCCATGCATCTTGACATCAACAGTGCAGCAAGGCCAAGAGCGAATAGAATGAGACAATTATGTGTCCAGAAAGTAGTAGCTCTCAAAGTTAATGTGCTCACTCATCTATGAATCACCTTTCTAAGGTAAGTACTAACTCATTGTGCCATAAAGCCAAAACCAAAAAAGTCATCAAGTGTCTGCCTGTCTTCAGACACGCCTGTAACGCCGTGACTCCCTCCTAGGTCTGTGAAACCATGAAAGTGTGACCAAGAGCATCCGTCTGCGTAGGACCAAAACCAGAAGAAGCCGACGACTCCAAGAAAGAAAACCTCGCCAAAGTCAAATCATTTTTTCGTAACCACCCGTCGTGGGAATCGTACCCGTCGTGTCATGCATAGCGTAGTAAAAACAAAACAAGGCCAGATCTCTCGCCTCCTGCAGCAGAGAGGATCGACCGACCCGGCCTTGCAGCATCATTGCTCCCCGCTGGAGCTGAGAGGCGATAAGTCGGCTCTGGAGTCCATCATGCGTCCACCGGGATAGGGATTGGCTGGCAAGACGTGCATGCGTCGAGCGCGGTGAACGCATGCTTCTCGTCAATGGCAGTCGTCTCTCGGAACTGTGCGTGGCGTCCCTTCTGCCTCACATTGTAGCGAATCAACGAGTTGTTGCCAGGAGGCGTCTTGAGCACAATTGATGGCTGGGGGGCGGGAGCCAAACGCTCCTCGTCATTGGTGTCACCATCGGCACGGCTGCCCCAAGACGTCTGTTGACCTTTGTTAGCCTGATTACCAAAAAACGTGAGTTGCGAGGGACCTCACCATATTAAGAGTGATCAGAGCGTAGAGCTTGATGAGGCCGTGGAAGTATCCAAAGACAATGGACAGAGGCAGGTACATGATGTCGCTCGGATTGCGGCGGAAGAGTCCAACAAGCTTGACCACTTTGGTGAAGGCGAACATGAAGACGAACTGCGCCCAGAACGCATACAAGCGGTTTTGCATGTCCCACTCGGCGGTAGCCCACCAGCACGTCGCCAAGAGCAGGGGGTCAAACAGGAAGGCCAGGGAGGTGAAGGTCGCAATGTGCAGAGCGTAGGTGCTCCACGGCTGTTGCTTCCAGACGTAGCGCTCCCGGACGAGACTCGTCCAGTTGCTGCGCCAGTTGCTGCGGGCCCAGCGGGAGCACTGGTACAGGAACTTGACGCCATTCTCCAGGGTCGTCTCAATCTCACACTCGGACTCGTACTGGATCCAGGTCTTCCACTGGTGGCTGACCAGCCAGCGAGAGACAAAGTTGTCGTCGTCAGCATTCAATATCCACTTCCTCCACTTTTCGTTCTTAAAGCCGTGAAGGAAGTCGTGGCTGGACAGAATCTCCGTTCGGTAAGCGCCGGTGCGCCCAGACATGCAAGAAGTGCCACCGTCCATGTTGTGCGTTGCCGAGATCTCAAAGTTGCGTCGCTCAATGTAGGCCGCGCCGAGCCAGTTCCAGAGACGGTCCGCCAGGGGAGCGTCCCACTCGCGACGGACGCGCTGACAGGTGCCAACGCCACCAATCTTGGGGTCCTCAAAGGGAGCAAGCAACCAGGGCATGAGTGTCTTGGGCCAGGTCACGTCATCATCGGCCATGATTGTGATGGACGTCTGCACGTTAGGCAGAGCCTCGCAAACCTGGATGCGCTTGTTGGCAATGGCAACAGACATGACGCGGACACGGTCGTGGGGGAGTGTGGCGGCCATGAGCTCGAGGTCCTTGCGCTTGTCGTTGGTGGTGACCATGAGAAGCTCATACGGCTCGCAAGCCAAGATACTCTCCAGGGCGGGGCGGAGTTCCTCAAACACATTATGAATCGTAGGAATGACCACTGTCACATCTTTGCTGGTGAACGAGGGCTTGGCTGGGATTGGCTTGGATTTGTATGTCCAGTGACTGACACAGTGAACCAGAAGGCGAAGATAGCGGTGGATCCTATTGGGCAGTCAGTACAGCTCATCCTAGTTTCGTATCATCTGAATCTTACCATAGACCCCAGAACACGCAGACCCAGAACGACGTGGAGTACCAGAAGTGGAACGAAGGCATGAGCAGTTGGAGAGCAGCGACAGTCTTACTGCCGACTGCATCGATGATAGCCTCCATGGCGGCAACGGCGAGGGATGCAGAAGAAAAGCGAGAGTTTGAGGAAGAGAATTTTTTTTTTCGTACGCCTGTGTCGTCTGAACTTGCTGTTGTTGACTTGCACGCTGTGGACACACGCGCTCTTCCCGCAGTGCTCACAGGCTCATCGATCAACTGGGGTTTCGCGCGTTTAGCTTGTAAGACGACGCACTCGATGCCAACCGTTTCGCGAGCTTTCGAGCAGCACTTTTCCAGAGACGGGTGGTCAACCGGGACTTCACACCTCGTTCGGATCGTTTCCAGATCAAACAAAGTCGAAGATGCAAGCTGTGAGTATGCCAACACGCTGAAGGGGGCACACGACAACAGCCAATGGCTGACACAAAGAACCCAAGGATAGCAGACCGAGCAGTTGCTGCGCCGAGCAGGTGGATAGTATAGTACAACGGACCAGTCGAGACTCTCAAGCCAGCAGCAGTCTGGCGAGTGTACTCTCGGGTTCGTAGGGGGGGGAGGGGGCGAGGGAAAGGGGATGGGGAAGAAAAGGGAAGATCAAGGGACGTAGGTCATGATCAGAAAGTTAGCGGCCAGGCTCTGTGTGAAGGCGAGGGTAGAAGATATATAAACTACACAGGCCAGGTGGGATGAATGGAGAAAAGGCCTGGGGTTGGCATCTTGATTGACGGACGGGTAGTCGGCCGGATCGTAATTCTTGTGCGTATCCTGCGCCATTGAGCGGGCCATGTCCTAATGTCATGCATGTTCGCGGAGTCGACCTGGACCCTCCTCTGCTTTGAGGCAAATGTGTGCTCGCCGCGCGACGCTCGTCTCGTCCTTGCGCAGGCAGGCGGCAGAATGTAGGTAGAGATTAGTCTCGACGACGACGAGAGGGACTGGAGGACTCGACGACGGCTTACAGCACCTCTAGTGGGCGCGACCAGGCAGGGTTCAGGGACCCAAGACGCTGTTGCTCCGGCGTCAAGACGCTAGTAGGGCCGCCTGCTGGAGATATCTGTGCCATGGTGGAGTCACCGAGGTGGAGAGCAACCTTGTCGCAGATTCAAACGCCGTTGTGAACTTGCGAAGGAGGGGCGTGCATTGGAGATGTGGGCTGATGACTGACGGAGACAGATGAGTTTGTCAACGTTGATCTGTGCGTGACTACACAACAGAGAGAAGGAATCGACCAGGCAAGCATGGGCGGATGCTTTTGGCTCCTCTCGATGGCAATTCGATCCGTCGTCTGCTGTCTCCAGCCATTGGCGACGCTTCTGTAGAAAACTGTCAGTCATGTGTGGACAGACAGACAGACAGAGTGAGTCCATGATCTGGGCCATCTGGGGCAACAACCGTGCACTGTGGGTGGTGGAGACCAATGGGATGTCGAATGTGGTCATGAATATCACGCGCCCTCAGGTACCTGTGGTTGATGCTCTCGGAGCTGATCAGTCATTGATTTGCAAAGGTCCACGCCCATATGCAATTCATCCGCGCGCGTCGCCTTCACTAATCAGCGGGTTTCCTTACCATCTCGGCAAGGTGACCAATTTGGCCAGCGTCGACCAGACAGACCACTATCCGTCCAGTCGCTAATAGCCGGCAGAGGACCGGGATCTACAATCGCTGAGTGGAGGGGCCAAGCGCTCTTTATTCTTAGTCGGGGCATGCGCGCGGCCTTGTGGACAGCCTGGAATCTGGATAGCCAGCGAGCGGCCAGCCAATCTTGGAAAGATGCGGAGCATGAATTGCGCACGCGCCGGCCAGCGTGGAACGAAACGAGAGTGATCTGACCTAGGACGAGCGACCTCCAGTCACCACAGTTGCTAGGTACTTTGACGAGCGACGCGATGGCTCAGTACATAGTTGGTAATTGTCCCGAATGGTTGCGACTCACAAGCGCCTTTCTTGTTCAGCATCCGCTTGCATGCGACCCAGGACAGCCTCTAATTGCAGCTTCAGACCGAGCAGGGACCAGCTGCATATTGAATGGACCGCGTCTGCGCGAGCCTGCGACTTCACCCGCTCGTGCAGAGAAATGCGTTTGGTGGTCCGCAAGCCGGAAGGAAGAGGAAACATGGGTAGGATACAGCCATTGGCCAACCAGGACGAATTGACAAAGAGTCGAACGAACAAGCAATTGCTGTCGCATGCAGGTACTCGCAGAGAAGTGGTTGTGCCACCACCTACTACTTTGCTGCTGCATCGTGTGCCCCTCCAAGGCTCCAGCACCTGATGCCGCTCGAATGCCGCCTACTTTCAGACCATGGTGGGGAGGATGTGGCCGAGGCTGGACCAACCGACCAACAAAGACCATGCCGATACGCTGCGCACAGCTGGTCTTCTCTATTTGCTCGTGAAGTGACAATGCCAAGCCACGCACTTGCAAAACATGCGAGATTGTAATTTTAGTATGTCGAGGTCTTGAAGGAGGAGGGGGGGAAAGGCTCCGATCCTCAGTCTGCCGATCGTTGATGCACATTGCATAAAAGCCAAGTCATTGCTTCAGTGAACGTGCTGTTTTCTGGTCACTGCGCACAAACAAGAGGCTTCTGACCATCTCCAGTAGAAGTTGCTGGCACCACGCTTCGTTGGGCTGCGCCGGCTGTTCTTATCAACTTCAATTTCAAAATAGCATCGATAATGTCGAGCATGCAAGCCATGCGGGGTTATTGACTCGAGTTGGCGTTCGATGGGATCTGAAGGGTGGTGTACGCGAGCTGTCCAGGGATGACATTGGGTGGTGTAGCCAGTCGATGTATTCTGTTGCCCCCAAATGGGCATTGTCCGTCTATCGATCGAGCACTGTAAGTTAAGTAGCGTTTTGGACGGTGTTGGATGCATCGTCATAGGTGCGACAAGACACGTCTTGCTCATGCTTGCAGATGATGTGACGCCGGTGGAGCATGCCACTTTGGTCGTCGGGTGCTTGCCAGCGGCTCTCTGACACGCAGGGTATGGAGTAATTATTAGACGTCCTGAGCCATTGCGATACTGGCATGGTGGTGTGTCTACTTTGTCGTTGTGAGGTGCAGTTAACGGATGTTGCAATACGACCAGGAGCTTGACTCCAGTCCATGTCTGTGCCAGCCCGAGGTGCTGGTGGTGGGGGTAGTTCAAGTTGTCGGCGCCATAAATAGTGGTGGGCTAGCCTGCTGTTGCTGTTGGTCGCGCCATGCTTGCAGGTTTTCTTGCAGTTACAGCAGACAGGATGGAGCGAGGAAAAATTTCCTACGGAGCCCATACCCATAATGTAGCTGACTCCATGCAGAGTGAAAAAGTTGATGACGGAGATAGGACAGAGGCATAATGGCTGCAGTCCACAATGCCGTTGATCGGACGGAGCCATCTCCATGTCCAGTCGTAACTGCCACTTCGGCTGTAAAACTGTCAATTGGAGCCTGCATTGAAGAGTGGCATCCTTGTAGAGAAGGAACAATCAGTAACTCACATGTCAAGGTGTTTCAACCATTGACATGGATGCCATGGTTCACTTGCGTACTAGTACCTTGGCTGCCCGTCGCTTGAGACGCTTTGTACATCATGCTGTTGAAGGCATGTAGTAATGCACCGACGAAGGCAAAGCACACTCCCAGACCAGCGACTGAACTCGCTATCAAAAGAGTACAGGAATTATCAGTGCTCACCAAGCCCAGAGATCAACACCTACATCACGATTTGCGTCGCAATCTGCGAGCCTCCCATGTCGAGGGCACGATGAGATCGACTCTTGTAGCCGCCACTCTTAGCAGCCCGGGTCGACTATGATTTCATCCCACCGTCCATGGTCCCATGCCATACATAGCCTGATCATACATGCATGCGCTGTGGCCAAATTCGCGGGTCGAGGGGCAGGCTTTGTGTGAAAGCGGCAGCCGTACGTACACGGTACGAGTCACGACAGCTTCGCTCCAGATCCCAGATTCTCTGGCGCTGGAGCAGAGATCTTGAAGGGCCTCTGCATTATGACCCAATGGAGGTGGTGGGCCAATGCCGCGTCCGTGATTAATTAATCTGGACTTGACGGACATTTTCTTCACCTCAAGCTACATTCGGCGCAGATCGCCGGGCCCTCTAGTTCTGGAGCATGCGGGACAGCGGCTCAACCCTAGTTGGCCGGATGATCGACAATGGCCGTCCCGGTGTGCGCACAGGGCACAACTTAATCGCCAACTAGTCTACCGTAGCAAACGACCTAATAGCTGGCTTTGCCTAACAAGTTAAGTGGCGGACGGCGTCGTGGCGACAAGAACTGGAGTTTTCCGTGTTCATGCCAAAAAGCACCATGCATTATATATTAGAGCGTCCCTGAGCTCCTGTCTCTCGGAAAACCCCCATTCAAACTGTGTGCGTGCCACTGCGTGGCATAGGCCCTGGCACCCACCGGCCTTCCTGGGGTTGAACCCCACGGACCTGGAGCTAGACCAGACCAGGATGCCCCGTCCGGTCTAACAATTGGCCCAGCCTGCTTCATGCTTTACCCCCGAGCCCAATACCTCCATCTGCAACAGATGGCACGACTTATCTTCTCGGCTATTCTCAACAAATCCAGGAAGCAAGTTCATCGACACGGCATCTCGATTTTCGTCGGCTCTGTAACGTTCAGCGGCCGATGCATCCCGATATTCCTACCCATTACCCCTGCGCGATACCAATCCGCAGGATCTCGGTGGGCTTAATCACCTGCCTGAAACGACAGCAGCCGGCTGCTAAACACACCAAAGCCATGACCAAGTCTGGCCATTCCGTGCGCCGGGTTCTCCATGCAAATGACACGTATCGTGGATTTGTGAAGAGCATCCCGTCCTACATGGAACTAATTAGCGTTCCTCCACCTCGGTGAGCGGCGGCGACTCCTCGCTGTTCCGCGTCACACATTGATGGCCAGGCCTCTCAAATCCCAACGCTCAAACCAACCAAGGAGCGCGGCCCAGACACTCGGCTGCTGCACGGCCGCCGGAACAGACAATCAGTTGGGACGTGCAATCTCCGGGGGCATCGAAACCCTGTAAGCGTTCAACGCAGTGAAGACTGTGAAGCACATACGTACATGGAACCGCAAGCACATGTCAACCGCGGATGCAGGACTCTGCGTCCGCCACTAGCATCGTCCGCGATACAGATTACTGTGTCGTTAGTGGTGCCCGTGCGTGGTTGCGTGCTCCTCATCTGTCGGTTCCCAAGAACCAACTCACGGCTCGCCATTCCGAGGGTCTTTATGCTGCTCTCGTCGAGTGCCCCCAAAGTACAACGCTATTGCAGGTTCTTATCGTTCCAAGAGCTTTGCGC